TATATATATATATATATATATTTATTTATTTATATAAATATTATTTATCTAAATTTTTTTATCATTTAATAGCATTCATAATTTCTTTAGATAAAAATGCATTTTTTAAAAATGTATATTTTATTATAATATTCATTGGTATCATGTTAAGCATTCCTTTAGTTCTCCATAAAATAATTGTTAACTTTCTTATATATGGAATCCATAAATAAATAAAAATAAAAACTAAAAAAAATATGAAAGTACCAAAATATATAAAATAAGTCTCTTTATATTTTTCCAAATATAGATATGATTATTCCAAATATAGATCATTTAATTCAACCATTGAAGGAATAACGAAATACATTTCTTCTATAATCATTGTAATATCTTCATTATTCATGATATCTATTATACTTTCTAATGATTTTTACATACTATCTATTTCAGTATTATTATCTCTTAATGCTAATATAATTTTTTTTTTTTTTTAATTTCTTATTAATAAAATTACTTTCGATTATTAAAACTATTGCTGCCCTTAATCCTTTCGTTAATATATTTGATATAATTTATGTACATTATTAGATCTTATCTTTTAAAGCAATAATATTTGTACATATATCTGAAGAATCAACTAAATCAAATTTTGTAACATAATTATCAAATTACTTAGGAAATTTTTAACCGAATGTAGAAAAAACATTTCTTTCATTAGTATAAGTAAGTTAAATAAATTACAATCTTTAATCTATTCCTTAGCTATCAATTTATTTTTTCAATTAAATTATTTCTTCAAAAGAGAAGAGTAATATATTTTATAGATAGGTAGGTCTTTATGAAATAAATTTTTCATGAATTATTATTTTTTATAACGAATCAATAAATTATATCTAAAATATATAACTAGCAATAAAAAATATATTAAAAAGTGCGAAAAAAAATCCAAATTAAATAACTATCAAAGCTTTGAAATTATTTTTTTAATTTAATAATTTAATACTTCTTTGTTACTAAAATTCAGCAAAATAATCTTCTTTCATATTTTTAGAGTTAGATAATTATTAATTTTATAAAAAATTGTTATCATATTATTATTATTATTATTATTATTATTATTATTATTATTATTATTATTTTATATATTTCTCTTATAAATATAACTAGTTAAATTTCGTACATTTTATTTCTAGATTGCTTATACTTTCTAATGGAATCTATACAAAAAGAGACAACACTTTAAAGTTAGTTTATATAATTTTAAAAATAAACGGAATTACATATGATAACCATAAAAAGTATATTATTATATTCAATATTAATATAATATTATATTTAAAATAAAATCCTTTTATTAACTATTAATAAAATGTATAAAATTCTTAAGCAATCTCTTCAGAAGCTTATCTGAGTGTATAAAGTCCATTTTATTGTATATAATAAAAATATTTTTTTGTATTTTTGTCTATTATTTACATTTTTTCATCTATTTAGAAAAGAGATAGTGTTGAATTCTTTATATAAGATGCACATTGTATATATGTGAATAAAGCATCATTAAATGATTTTTAATCTGTAATTTATTATTCATTATATTATATTTATTATATATTATATTTTTTATTATCTAAATATTGCTAAGAAGTTTTTTCGTTTATTTATAATTAAAATTTAATTACTTTAAATTAAACTTCTTAAAGATTTTCAAGATAATTTTCCATTTATTCTTTATAGAATATGTGTTTTTTGATCTTTTAATTTTAAGATGATTACTTAAGTATATTATTTGATAACATCCAGATATTTGTTGAATAATAATTCACTTCGTTTAATATTTTAGGTCTTAAAAAAACTGTATATATAGCATCTATAGCTTCTTAAGCATTATTTTTATCATTTTAATTAAAGAAAAGACTAGAAATAGATAAAAAAGTGAGAGAAATAAATAATAAAATGCCAAATCTTTACAAAAAAATAACTGACTTTGGCATATTTTTTTCTGAAATTAAAGACCTAAATTCATTTAAAAGCCTCATTTACTCATTTTGTAAATTATTTTCGTCAGCAGAATTATCTACAATTTATTCATTTGAATTGTTCTCATTTTTATTATATATGGTTTTAAATGATTTTTTTTACCCTTTATCGTTTTCGTTTTCATCATCTTTTTGAAACTTTTCAAGATTTTCGTACGTATTTAATTATTTTTAATCTTTTTACATTATGCTTTTTTCTTTATTAATTTCATCTTCTTCTTATTTTATTAATTTAAACTTTATTGTGCTTACATTTATATTCTTCAAATATAATTAGTCTATTAAAAATACCATTATTTTTGATTTTGTGAATTATTTTTTTTCATATATTTTTGTTTATGAGCTACTGAATTTTTATTTTTTTCTTTCTGAATTTAATCTGCTTCTATCTTAATTTAATAAATTATTAAATTCATCATTAGATAAATTGTTTTCATTTTCATCTTCTTCCTCTTCATCTTCTTCAGTTTATTCTATCATAAAATTATTTTCTATGAATATTGTATCCAACTCAAAATCTTTCCCTGTAAAAGAATTTAATTGCCCACTTTTTTCACTATCAATTAAACCAGGAATTATTTAATCTATAAAAAGTTCGGATGATCCTCTGAAAATAGATAAAGGAATTCCTAATTCTGTTTTACATCCATTACTTATTCCTAATATGCTTCTTGTTTAACTACTATTTTTTTAAATATAATTAATTAAAAAGAGATATATTTTTTAAAAAAATTTACTTATAGGATATATAATGATAATTCTTTTCTGCTGCTTTGCTCAAAAAACCTATAAACTAAATTCCATAGTCTAAATTCGGAAATTATTTAATGATTAAATGACACATTGTTATATATCCTTCAGAATTTAAACATGAAGCAATTCTTTCATTACCTATAACTTTTTTTTATGAAGTATTTAAATAATCTTATATATATTCATCGTGAGATTCTCTATATGATTTAGGTATAATTTTACCTATATTTTAATTTAATATTTCTTTTTTTTCATAACCAAGTAAACTTAAAAATAAATAAAAAATATATATAAAGAAAAAAAAAAACTTTTTTATTTAATTATTAATTTTTGTTATTATTCCTGTCTGATCAATATTACCTGAAACTTATATAACACAAGCTTTACTATTTTCTCCATAAATATGCTTATCAACCCCATCATATTAATTTATGCTTTTTATAATATTTTCAGCTTTATCTATTAAATAAGTACTTTAATTTTACTCATTAATAATATCTTTGAGATAGTTTCCGTAAATAAGAAGACATAGCACATTATTTGAGTTAATATTTTATAATTATTTGTATTGTTTTTTAATTTATTTAACATTATTTGAAATATTTTCGCCTAATTTTAATATTTCTTTAATATCAGGAGAATCTTACATTAACATTTACCAAAATATTGTATGTAATTTGACAGAATAGCTAATATTATCTAAAAAAGGAACAAACTAATTTTAAAAAGCAATAATTTTATTAAAATCTTAATTTTTAGAATCCTAATTCCTTGAATCAAATTCCTAAAGTTCATTTTCAACAATATTTTTTTAACAATAAATAGAAAATAATAGTTAATTATTATTTTGTTTAGTTTCACAATTTATTAATTCGATTATTGAACGCATTTTATTTCCTAACTTTTCATACAAAATATAAGAAAGTAATAAATGAAAATACGCCTAACTTTTTATTTAAAATTTATCCATAGTTGTTTCAAATATACTAAATATTAATAAATACCATTTATTTATGTTTTTTTCAAAGGATTCACCTCTTTTGGATATTATTTTAATACAAAATCCTTTAGTTCTATTTTATGAATCATCTAAATGATTTTTCTAAAAGCTTAATAATTGTAAAAAATTTAAGGGCTAGTTAATATTCTAAACTAAAAATAATAGATAAATTAAATATTATTATAATTAATGCTCATGCTTAATATTATCATCCTTAAGAAAGATAATGTTATTTTAATAATTATAATATAGTCGATATAATGCATATAAAAGCAAAGGTATATATAATATTATATATATTAAATATATATTGCTATTAATAACAAATGTAATCAAACAAAAGTAAAAAGAAAACGAAAAACATATAAAGTCAAGAAATATCTAAAATATTTATAATTAAAAATCATAATATGATTAAGAGAAAAATCTCTATAATAAAATAACCATCTAAGAAATTACCAATATAATAAGAAAAGGCTTCTAAAGATATCCATCTACATCGATTATAGAATATATAGGAAGAATTATTTTATAAACTTAAAAATATATAAATATATAAAAAATATATATATTTATATATATAAATATATATATACATATATATTATTATATATTTTACTATAACGAATTAATTTTAAATTTTAAAGTGGAGATGCAAAAGGTTTTTTTGAGAATATATTTAAATCAATAAAAAAATATATTAACAATAAAGTAATTATTAAAAAGTTTATAAATCCTATTATTGATATAAAAAAATTTACTAAATGATACCCTTTATAACATTATATATCTGTGTTTTATTTACAATATATTGATCCTATGTATATTTCAACAAAAGGAATTATTCCGAAAGTGTTTGTTAGAATTCCTTTTCCAAAAAGTAAAGTTGTTAAATATTTACTTAAATTATTTATTTTATTCTAAGATATTTTATGGCTTATTTTTTATTTATATTTTTATCTTATTAAATAAATAAATATAATTAAGATTAAAATATGTAAAGTTGAAAACGAATAGAGAAATGCATAATAAATAATTTTTTGATTATTATTTTAAATTATTAAATTATAAAAAGAAAAATATCTAAAAATCGAGACAATAATATCTTTGTATTATGCTTCTCCTTAAAATTTGAATTGAGGTAAAGTGGCAAAATAAGATAATTAAAATGTTTCAATTATTAATGAAATAAAATAAAATGTTTTTGAAATTTCATTTGAATATATCATTTAATATAGTATATCAAAAATACAAATTTATATATCATTTCTAAACTTTCTCAAACCTTATTGTTAATTTTCATATTGTAGTAACATTTTTATTATTATTAGATTTTCTAATTAATTTTTAATTGTTTATATAAAATTACTTTTAAATATTTTAAATTTTTAAAATAAAATATTTAATCAAATTTATATTTTTTTATTATTAATTATTGTATTTAATGTTAATATTTCCCTTCTCCGAATTAAAAAATATTGCTATTTTATTTACTCTCGTTTAAAGTATAAAAATTATTTAAATATTTTATTATTAAAATCAAAAAAATATTATTAAAGTATACATTATTATTTAAAATATTTAGTTTAAACATTTTCTATAACTGATTTTATAAGAATCTTAATAATTTTAATTTTTTAAACCTAAAAAAACATCAAAAATTTTTTTTTTAGAGAATCAAATATCAAATAATAATGTATTATAAATAAATTTTTAACTACAAAAAACTGGCAATATAATAAAATTTTACTATATTTTTTAATATTATTTGTTATTAAATTGAATTTAAGAATATTCTTTATTTGAAATTAGTTTTAATTTTTATATATTTTTTACATATTCAAAAATTAATTATTATATAAAATAAATTTTTTATATATTGAATATAAATAGTATAGAAATTAAGGAAATATTATATTTATAATTAATAAAATAATTTTAAAAATAAAAGGATTTTATAATTATTTTTATTCACAAAAATAAACTTTTATTTCATATATAATGTATCTTTATATAAAATAAATTATTATATAATATTTTGAAAAATCATATATTTATTTGACTTATAATATAAATTATTCAACTAATATAATCAGTTAAATAGTTAACTTTCTGATTTAAAGTTAAGATTTATTAATTTAATTAAATATTTTATGTAGTTAATTATTAAATACAATCTATAAAATGATTATTTTATTACTTATGTATTTATTATTATTATATAAAATTACAACATAATTTTTCTATTTACAAAGATAATTTTTCTTCAGAAAATTGGATTTGTTTCTCGTTTTCAAATTTAAATATTTTATAAGTATTTTTACAATTTTCAATTTAAAGCTTTGATCTTTTTAATTCATTTTTTAATTACTTTTTTATTAATAAAAAAATTAAAGTAAAATATTTAGAAATTATAGTTTACATATAATTATTCATATAATTTATCTGTTTAAAGGTTATCATTTGAATTTTCTTATTATATACTTAAACTATTCTTTGTTTATAATTAATTAATTTATGTTATCATATTTAATATTATTATAATAATTGTTATTCGATATATTTTTATTAATGTAAAATGATTATAATTGTATTTGCAATTAATATAATAATATTTTATTTTAACTTTTATTTTTTCTTTAATACAAATAGTTTATATAATACATTTTATAATATTTTTTCAAATAAAGCGCGATATTTACAATAATTTATATAAAAAGAAATCAAATATATTATTTTAATATAGATATGATTTATAATAATTATAAACAAAAAAAATTAATAAAAACTAAAATATAAACAAGATTTTTTTTTTTTAAATATGAATAAATACTTAGTAAATCTTGAATAAGATGGATCTTTTCCTGATACTCATGATAAAGTATATTGCTTAAATTCAAATGATTACCTAACGATAGTTCTAAACTCAGTAAAGTTTCTTAAATTCACTCCATTACTATTGACAAATTACCCATCTATGAATCCTCACAAAAACTCATATCAACACCCAAAAGCCCCAGAAATAACTTAATTTACAACCAATGAACTAAAGAAAGAAGACTTATAGAAATAATATAAGGTGTTTTCTGGATTTTTTAACACAGAGGGTTAATGGTAAGTAGATTTGCACATATAAGATTTTGATGGCTCGCTATATTTATAAGTTATATTTTTAGAAGATAGATTTGAAGATAAAAAAGAAAATATAAAACTTGCATCTTTTGGTAAACCTGAATGGATAATGGTATAACCAATAAGCACTATGGACTCTTCTCTTTTGAAAATCGATGAATTGATAATTTAAACTGTACTTCCTTACAGTCTTGGCCCTAGCTCTAAATGGCTTGAAATTCTAAAAAATCAAACTTAATTAGGATATAATGGATTCCATTTCCCTCCAATCTAATAGTTAGGATATTCAGGTTCTTATTATTCGATTAATGACTAATTAAAAAGCAATTCTACGCTTTTTGAAGATAACGGAAGCTTTGATTAAATCAAATAAATAATATAAGATCTCCAAAAATAGACTAAAGCCGTTTGTTTTGTGGATATTTTACTTAACCATACTTCGTTTGATAGTGAATGGCTTTTAGAATGTCCTGATGCTGTTTACAGCAATTTGAATACACCATGTTTGTGCTCTGCTATTGAATTAGATGAAGCTATTGCATAATTTAGTGATGCTTTATCAAGAAAAGAAGTAAAGGAATATTACAATGGATCTAATAGAATAGAAAACGAAGATCAATTAAACGCAGTAATGGAAATTATGAAAGAAAGAATATTTTATGGATTAAAATTAGTTGAATTCTTTTTGTTTGATAATGAAGTTATTATTAAATAATTAAGAGATACACTCAATAGGCATAATATTTAAATTTTCTAAAAAGAAATAGAAGTTGATGAAGATGAAAATATATTTGCAAGATCTGGATTTGATATTATTAATAATTATATTTAATAAAATGTATTTAATATAGGCGCAAAAAGATTCGGCGTTTCAGTTGATTTTGAAAAATTAATTATTGAAAATATTAAAGAAAAACCTTAATAGTATTGCATTTAAGCATTTGTAAGATCTATTGATTTATGGAATAATTAATGGAGAGAAAAAATTTCTTCATATATAGAATAAGCTATTTCTTCTACATATGGATAAATTAGATATTGGCATATAGAATTATAGAAACATCAAGTAACTTTAAACTATACACTTGTTCCGAGATATTTTACTAAACTTAAAAATGGAACATTTGCTGCTAATAATGGATGGATTTAAGTTTTTTTTAATTTTTTTTTAATTTTTATATTAATATATTAGGATTATGATCCTTTAAAAATTTTTACAGATGATGGGGAATACCATTATTTAAGAAGAACCATTAATATTTGGGGAGATTTAGTTAAATTAAGATATGGTAATTCAAAGAAAGATTCACCTGGATTATGGAAAAGAATGAAATAATATGTATAATTAATGGCTCGAATATTCCATGGATTCAGATTAGATAATGCGCACTCAACTGCTTTAAATGTAGGAGAATATTTTATGAGAAAAGCAAGAAATTAAAATAAAAATTTGATGATTTTTGCAGAATTATTTACCGGAAATGTTACTAAAGATGCAATTTTTTGCAAAAAAATAGGTATTAATGCACTGGTAAGAGAAACAAATCATAATAAAAGCTCTTTAGATATTTTCGGATAATTTTGCTATTTATCTAGAGTATCAAAATATGGTGTAGGATCTTTAGATAAATTAATATAAATTAATTTATAAAATGGAGAAAAGAAAGAAATTTTAGTGCCTACATAACCTAAAAGTATTGTCTATGATCAAACACACGACAATTAATCTATATTATCATAATTTTCTTTGTAATAAACTTTATCTTTAATTGCTTTAACTTCTTTTTGTCCTTTTATAAAAGGTATTTGCTTGTTTATATCTTAATTAATGAATATATTTAAATAAAAAAAGGTACAGTAAGAGGATTTGATGAACTTTATCCAGAAAAATTAAGTGTAGTAGATGAAAGGAGAAAATATTTAGCATAATTAGATTGTACTGAAGTTCATTTAAAAGATTCGCCAATTGAAGTTATTTTAACGTTAAAATTACATAGCTTAACTGAAAATGCAGAAGTTAGAGGCGATTGGGATAATTGGGCAGATGGTGTAAAAATGAATTTACTTTCTTCTAATGAATGTAATTATATATATTTCGCTAAAGTTTTGGTTTCTTAATGTGATAAGGTATATGAATACAAATATAATATAAATGGAGAATGGCATGTAGATCAAAATAAAGAGATTAGAAATGGGAATAATTTTTTTTAAACAGGTGGAAAAGCAAATACTTTAAGTTACTCAGATAATTTATGTGTTGCTAGAAGAGAATTTATTAAATATAATAATGTTTTATGCGATTAATATCCTTTTACTTTCTTATCTCATCATGCTTACGGATTTGTTTGTATTATGAGGGAAAATTAAACTAAAGATAGCTTCTATTTCTTAATTTCTAGAACTGCTTATAATGAAAATGATCATAAAGTTGATGTCGAAATTGAATGTCCTGGGATTATTGAAAATATAGAAGCTATATTCTAAGTAATTATTATTTATATATATAAATATATATATCTTTTTTAGATGAATGAGTTTGTTGAAGGTCATTAAAGTGCAAATTGTTAAAAAAATTAAGAATTTTTGTAAGGATTGAAAACTAAAGTTTTTTAAGAATTCAATATTTTAAAATATGCAGAAATTAGATTCTGTTCTTTAAGAAAAAAATCAGTTTTACATTTTTTTAATGCTCCCCCTTCATTATCTGTTGTTATTAAATGCACCCTTGATAAATCTTAGAAACAAGCGATTTAAAGCTTAAATAAACTCTTAGATGAAGAAAATTAAAAGTAAGCATTTAAATTATTTTAAGATTTATCCTCTAGCGAAATAAATTTCTTATTATTTTCTTGTTAAAGTGAAGAAAGAGAAACAACTGGTTTTGGAATGTATCATATTGCTAATCAAGGAGATTTATTATTTGGAGGATTAGCAGGTATATATATATAGAAAAAAATTATAATATTTGAAAAAAGAAATATTTAATTTTTATAATAAAAAGCTATTTTCCATGAAGTCGATTAGGCGTTAATATATAATGATTTAGGAAAGAACTTGTTCCATAATTTGAGAGAAGGATATTGGTATTTAGATTATATAATAAATAGATTAGTAAAACAAGCAGGAAATCTAACCAAAGTAGCCAATTATTTTAAACAATATTTTGATTTGTTAAAAACTATTCCAAAATATTTAATACCAACATATTTTTGTAAATTTATCAATACTTTCAAATCCCATATCCATGCAAAAATTTAACACAGAATGAAAGAAAACAAAGTAAAATTAAACTCTCGTTTTCACAGCGATCTTTTATTAGCAAGCTACTAATTTTTAGCAGAGATACCCTCTTCTAGTTTTTAAAACTATAAAATTTCAATGTCTGCTGGGCTTCCTCATTTTACCACTGGATGGACACGTTGTTGGGGAAGAGACACTTTTATTTCTTTTAGAGGTCTTTTGTTAATATCTGGACTTTATGAAGATGCTAAATCGATTATCTGTATGTTTGGAAGTACTTTAAGACATGGATTAATTCCCAATTTACTTGATGGAGGAAAAAGTCCTCGATATAATTGCAGAGATGGATGCTGGTGGTGGATTAAAGCAGTTAAAGATTATGTTGAATTCACTAATGATACTGCCTTTTTGAAATAAGAAATTAATATGTAATTCCTAAGTGATGATATGCTGGAAGATTAGAAACTTAAAGCTGAACATAAAACTAAAAAAATGACTATTTAGGATATTATTCAAGAGATCTTCACTAAGCATGCTTAAGGTATAAAATTTAGAGAATGGAGAGCTGGTTGTGAAATAGACTCTAATATGGAAACTGAAGGGTTCAATATAGCATTAAAAATGGAAGAGACTAATGGGTTTATCTTTGGCGGAAACATGAAAAATTGTCTCACTTGGATGGATAAAATGGGTTCTTCAGTTAAGGCTGGTAATAAAGGTGTTCCAGGAACTAGCAGGTGAATATTTAATATAAAATCATTTATATTTTTTTAATTTTTTATTTATTCCTAAAAAAAGAGATGGAGCTCCTGTAGAAATGACTGCTTTACTAAAATGCTGCTTGAACTTTTTAATTAACTGTAAAGATTATCCTTATGCATATGTATAAATTTCAAAAGATAGAAAAATTACATTTGTTGAATGGGCATAACTTATTTAATTGAATTTCGAAAAATTTTATTGGATTCCAGAAGAAAATATTAATCCTCTTCATGAAAAATACATTCTTAGAAAAGGTATTTATATGGACACTTATAAATCTCATAATATAAGGTGTGATTATTTGTTAAGGCCTAATGCTTGTATCGCTATTGCTGTGGCTCCTGAACTTTTTGATTTAAAACATGCCGAACATTATTTAGATATTGTAGAAAAAAATCTTTTAGAATAAAACAGTATTGGAATTAAAACCTTAGATCCATTGGCTCCTGAATATGTTCCTTATTATGATAATGCTGATGATACTGTATAACCTAAAACTGCTCATGGATTTAGTTACCATAATGGTCCTGTATTATTTTATATTTTATTTGTATATTTATTTATTTTATTTTGAGGAATGGGTATGGTTGTATGGATATTTTGTTAAAGCCATTTTGGAAGTAAGAAAGAAATAAAATGGATTTACTAAATAAAAATTAATGGGTCATTTAGCTAATCATAAAAGACATATATAAACTAGTCCTTGGCTGTCTTTGCCTGAGTTAACTAATCAAAATGGAAGTTATTGCCCTTTTTCATGTTAAAGCTAAGCCTGGTCAATTGCTACTTTAATAGAAGTTTGCTTTGATAGCGAATAACTATAAAATAATTGATTTTTATTTTATTTTATTTTTTATTTATTTTATTATTAAACTTTTTTAAAAATTAAATTTTTTTTTATTAAATTAAATTATAGTTATTTATTTAAGTATTTTTATTTAAGACAAAATATTATTTTTATAAATACTAGTAATAATTTTTTTATGTTTAATTTAAAAAAAGAAAAATTAAATATCCAAAAAAAAAAAATAAAAAAAAAAAAACTAAAAAATCAAAACATACATTATTTTAATCTAATTTATAGATAATAAAAAAAAATTTCAAACGAAGGTCTTAAAAAATAAAAAAGATAAAAATAAAATAATAAATAAATTTTACATCTTCCCATGAGTTGTTACCAGCTCCGCTAAACATATCAACAACAGTATATTCAAATATACCAAATTTATCAGCTAACATTAAAGAAATGAACATAGAAGGGGCTACCTTAAAGAAATAATTAGAAAACATACCAGCAAATATATTGCTTGATAATTCATGATAGTAAATCCATACAGAAGCTTTTCTATAATTACCATTCCATGGGCAAACGCCATTTTATTTAGGCCAGAAATCAACCATTTCTCTAGCAACCATGAAAGGATATGAAGTTAAACAAGCAAATAAAGTAGATAAACTTGCGATGACTCCCTTTATATTAATACATATAAATAATATATATATATATATATATATATATTATTATAAATATATATATACATTTATTTATATATATATATTTATTTATATTTTTTTATTAATACTTTCCAAACAAGTTCAGATTATTCACCAACTCTCCAAATAAAAGACATTTTATCTTATAGAAAATCATAAGTATATAGAAGTGTATATGTCTAAAAAAAGTTTCTTAAGAAAAGAGGTGATGTATTTTTGAATAAGTAGTATGGGCCCTCCTCTAAAGGAATTCTGAAAAGGGCACTCAAGTAATTAGAATATCCTCTTTGTAATTCTTTAGGGAATGTTTTGTCAGCATAATAAGCATATCTTGCCATTTCAAAAGGAATACCTATTGGGGCTGTTAATAATGCAGCAAATATAGATCCTGGTATTTTTCTTATAAAATTATATTCGAATCCAGCAAAAGGTCTTTACCATCCATTATTTACCCATCTAAATGCTGCTAAACGAGCTCCCCAATCAAAAGTTCCTGAACATAAAGCATACATACTTCTATTTACTACTGATTTTTAGTAATTCTTTAATTTAAAAACTTCTTTTAAAAATACTCCGGCTTCTGATATATTTTTTGGTTTCTCATACTTATTTGCTAATAAACGACAGTTATCAATTAATGCTGTTATGTTCTCTTATATTAATTAACTTACAGTTCCTACTACTGCTCCACGATATGCATTGTTTAAAAATGTCGAATCTTTTCTATATTTTTATTTGTATATTTATATAGATTCTATTATTTATTTATTTTTACCTTCTCACCCAACCTTATACATTATAAATATCCCAATATTATGAATGTCTTCTTTATAAATCTTCTAGTTCAAAAAACATTTATTTTTTCTTTTTTAATATAATGATTTATTTGTATATTATTATTATTATTTTAAATATAAATTTATTTTTTAATTAATTAAAATATTTTTTTTTCTTTTATTTATATTTTTTATTTGTATATAGAAAGATTTATATATATATAAATATATATATATATATATATATATATATATATATATATATATATATATATATATATATATATATATATAAGCAATCAAATATTTATTATAATTATAAAAGTATACATATAAATTAAAATTTTAGGTTTTTAATAAGTGAGTCTAATAATCAGTACAAATATATATAACTTAAATAAATTAAATATTTTAGATTTTAATAATTAAAAATAATATATAATTTTCAATTTAAATTGAATTTTTTTTTTTAATTTTTATTAAATAATAATAATACTATATATATATATATTATTATAAAAAAATTAATTTTTTGCCTTTTTAATTTTTAATTTTCAATTATTTTTTATTTACTACTATTTTAATCACAGACAAAAAGTATAGTTTAAATTATAAATAAGTTTTATTTTATAAAATTTTAGGCATTATTCAAAGCACCTCTCTAAACATTTATTAAATTAATTAATATAATTTTATTTTATTTTAGTTTAAAAATATGGGTTTTATTTATGAGAAGGATAGATTTGAATATGAATTTAAATTTTTTGGAATATTGAGAATTTTTGTTTTTATGAAAATCTTTAATTTAAAAATTTAATCTTTTATTTTTAATTAATTTTATTACATGTTTTTTTTTTTTTTTTAACCTGAATTTGTTAAAATCTTGACATTTTTTTATTATTTTAAATTATTAAATTATTTCCACTATCACATAGTATATATTTTCTTTAATAATTTTTTTACATTATAAAGGATTTTCAATAAAATTTTTGTTTTTTATTTTAATTTATTTCTAATCATATTTTATTTTTTTAGATACGAATATATTATTTTTTTGATATATTTTTAATTATTTCGTTAATTTATTTTAAACTTAAATAATAAAATTAATAGAATCATGTTTCATTTATTAAGTTTTTAAAAAAATAAATCAAAATAAGTAATATAATTTTACTTAGCTTTCTACTTATTATGTTTCTTTGAATATTTAAACTCCTTATTTTTGTTACATTAGAAATATATTTGACTAAGGATATAAATATTATTATAAACCTATAATTTAAAATCTGCTTATTTATTGCAAATAAAATTCTAAGTCAAAAGTTTATTTTCAATTATATTAAATTGCTGTCTAATTATAAATTAATATATTAATATTAAATAAAATTTGACTATTACAATTTATTTTTGTAATTTTATTAATATAATCTTCCTATAGTTAAAATTTAATGTCAATTTTATTTTAATAATATTAAAACATTATTTTTTTAATAGTTTGTGATTTTATTTTTAAAAATATTATCTTATTTTAGAATGAATGCCTTTATTATTATTAATAATATTTTTAATTTAAAGTTAAAAAAATTTATTATACAAAGCTAATTTAAAAATGTACAAAATAGTTAAAAGCATACAAATTGAAAATTTAATAGTTAACTATATATATTAAAACATGATGTTTTTAATTACTAATCATAAAAATAATATAATTACAGTAATTATTATAAAATAATGATAATAGTTTTAATCTAATTAATCTGACTTTTTAAAAATATGCAAGATGATGGTAAATAATTAAATGAAAAGATAACTGGGAATTTCTGAAACTTTGATACTTTTTTCGGTATATTCATAAAATAAAACTAAAAAATGGGTTATAAAGATATGTATTGCAAAATGTTTAAAATATATGTTAACATCTTTGATCCTTCTAAAAATAAACTTAAGAATAGATAAAGTATTATAACTACTATTAAATTTGATTATAAATCTTTATATATTTACTTCATATTAAAATGATAGTTATCAAAAGAATTGGTTATAACGATTTTAGTTAACTATCCAAATTAAGATGCTGTTAAATAATTTTATTTTCTATTAGGATGATAGTATAATATATTAGAAATAAATTAAAGGATAAAAATATATGTAAATTATTAAAATAAAAATAATAGTATATATAACTATTTTTCTTTGCAAACAAACACAAAAAAAAATAAAAATTTAATAATTAAAATTACTTTTCTGTTTATTTTGATTTATTTTTTAAATATATTTTTTTTAAAAAAAAATTTTTAATTAATTAAAGTATAATATATTCAAATTCTAAATGCAGCCAAAGAAGATCTTCTCATTTCTTCAACTTGTTTTTTCGATTGAACTACTCTACTTCTTAAACATTCAATTTCAGTAAATAATTAAACACATAGCATTAGCAAATCATTAATTCTAACTTACAAATCATTAATGTTCACCATTTATTATTTCAATTAGCAATTTTCAGTTTCTAATTCTGTATTTTCTTATGTTAGTCTATCTATTTCTAAATTAAGGACTCTGTTTTTTTCTCTCAAAATATTTAGTTCTTATAAAAGTTGTTCTAGTTTTTAACATTTTAGTTACCATTATTGTATTTCCTCATCTCTTTTTTACAAAAGTAATCTTAATCTATCAATTTCGTTTGTTAAAAGTACTACCTTAGCTTCCCAATCTTAAATTTCTTTTTACATTTTAGATCTTTTTACTTTACTATCTTGATTTTCAGAATTAAGATCTTAATATTATTTGGTTATTATTTCTAATTATTAAGTTAATTCAAGTATTCTTTAGTTTAAAGCTCTTATTTACGCCTCTAAATTTCTACAGGTGATTTCCAATTATTAGTTTTTATTCTTCCAATCATCTATTTCATTTTATTTTTATTCACATATATGTTTTAGTCTTTCTATTTCCTAAGTATAGCTCACTTTTTTTTAATAATATTATATTTTTTAAAAGTTGACATTATATATTTATTACTTAATCTGTTTTCATATTCAATAACTTTTTGTTCAATATTTTAATATTTAATAATTTATTATTCTAATTAGGAAATACGAGTTCTATATTGTTCGTTTTCTTGATTTTTGGTTGATAAAGCTTAATTTAATCTATCAATTTCTTAAGATAAAATTACGATTTTGTTTTCATATTCTCTAATTTTAACTTCTAATAATTTCATTTATTCATACTATCTTTCCAAATTACAGTATTTTACTTTTTCTTCTTAGAAAAGTTAATTCAATTATCTTATTTAACCTTCCATATCTCTAAATTTATCTTCATATTGTCTTAAATTATTTTCATGTCTTTTACATTTATCTTGAAGTTCTTTTTATAACAAAAAATATATAATATATATATTTTTTTTAAAAAAAATACGCTAAATATCATTATTTTTAATATTAACGGCTTCATTTAATCTTTATATTTCTTAAGTAAGCAACAATACCCGATTTTCATATTCTTTAAGCCTAGATTCGTAGACTTTGATTTGAGAAACCTACAATTCAAGTTCATTAATTTTGTTTCTTTAAGTATCAGAATCAGCATACATATTTCTAATAACAGAATTTAATCTTTCCAATTCTTAGGTAAATTATCCAATTTTAATTTCCTATTCTTTACAAATATCTTAATATCTTCTTAATTCATCTATAAGTCTTTCTTATTTTTGGAATCTGGTTTTCCATTCTTCAATATTTTGGACTAAAATAAGAATCTATGTATCTTTTTCTTATATTAATGGTTCTAATTTTTTAATTTCAAGTATTTAACTTTCAAGTTATTAATGAGATCTTTTTAATGTCTCTATATCATTGTTTTTTTAACCTATCATTTAGCGCAAACGTTCATTTTCTACTGCTAAGTTTGCACATTTTTCTTCTAATTCACTTATTTTTTAATCTTTTAGACGATTTGATTCATTAAAACTATTTTTTTGTTTTGTATTTTTTAGATATTTATATTTTAATTTTTAATTTTTAATTTTTAAATTTTAATTTAAATTTTAAATTTTATATATTTTTTTTTTATTCACCTTCTTTTTAAAGATTCATTTTCGTATTCTTTTTAAGTTAATACTTATCTTAATTAATAATATTCTTATTCAAACTAATTCTTTTGTTCTGAAATTATTTCTAATTAAGATATTTAAATTTCTTATTAACTACACATCTGCTTCCAGTATTCTATTTCTTCATCCTTTGCTGCAAATATCTCTTTTAGAGTGTCTGTTCCTGATTTCCAATCCTTTTTAGAAGCAGGATTAGCTACTTTTGATGTATCAACTTTGCTAGATATTACGTTTGTTGAGCGTTATATGTAGATATTGCTGTTTTAGTTAAAGTTACTTGAGGAGTTTTTCATTTGGATTTTTTTTTTTTAATTATTAATTTTTTTTTTTTTAATATAAAGCATTATTTTTATGCAGATTTTTTTTAAATATTCAAAAAATTATATGTTTTTATAAAAATACTATTATTACTTTTATAAAAATACACAATTTGGTTTTTTTAGAATTTTAATTTTTTTTTTTTTTATATAAACTAACGCATAATTGGTTAATCTGAAAACAATGTATTTTTAATTAATTTTTTAAAATATAATTTTTTTCCCTAATAGTATCTCTTTATTCATTATCTCATGTACTATTTGGATTTTATTATTTAAAATTATTTTAAATAAAGACTTTATTTAATTTTGATAATTTGATTTTAAAAATTTAAATTCTCAAAATCACTAACTGAATTATTTCCTAGAAAGAAACTATCTAACATACCTAAAAATTTATTTATTAAAGTATTGAGTGTACTTTAAAAAAAAAATTGCAAAGAAAATGTTTCTATTTAATTTAAAATAAGAAATAATTCAAGAAGAAAACAAATTATGATTATATAATAAAAATAAAGTGTTTTTTGTAGTTTTCTTTAATATTTTCATCTATTTCTATATTATTAAGATATTTAAATATCAGAAAAATTAAAATAATAGTTATAAATATTATTTATTCTGATGTTTTTATATTTTTTAAAAAACTCTCCTAAAAAAAAGCAGTATTTAAATATTTTTTTTGCTCTTTTTTTTATTGTATTTCTAAAAATAAAAAAAATATTTAATCAAATAATTCATTTAACCATAAAATAAATTAATCCAAATATATAATAGTCTTAATAAAAATAATTTCAAAGCTAATAAATTATTTTAAATAATGATAAATTCTAATAATATTAAAGTATTAGAGGAATAATTGATATTATTAAAAGTATAAAAAACAGTATATAATATTTACCCATATGTTTTTTGTTATTTTGATATATTATATATGTTCTGTATATATTAAATGTTATAATTTTTATAAATAATATTAATTATGTATGAGATAATTATATTATATATCATTATGTATAGTATAAATATTAATTTCATTATATATTTATAATAGAAATTATATAGGCTAAATAATTTAATCTATCATCAAAACATAATGAAATTAATAATTTAAAATGAAAGTCTTTTTATTCTTGTAGTTTTTGAATCCAAAGTATATAATAATTATTAAAAATATGTTTTCAATTATACTTCCAATAAAAATTATTATTTAATAATTAATAATAAAGTGTTTAAATTCTTAATTAATTTTTAAATATGTTTATTTTACATTTATATAAATAGAGTTTTTATTAATTATAATTAACATTTATTTCTTATAATATTTAACATATAAAGTTTATAAAATTAAATTTGCTATTATTCTAAAATTATAAAAAAGGAATATAATATTTAGTAAAAAAATGATTAAAATTTAATATGTAAATAAAAAAATATTTTTATATAAATGTAATCAATTTTTGCTTAAATTGTTTTAATTTTTAGTTCTAGTTTTCTAAACACTATCAGCTCTAATATTTTCATCATTATTATCATTATTTTAATAATAATCTTCTTCTTCTTCTTCATCATTTAAATTCTACTTAACAGTCCAAATAAAAATGCATCTATCCCTTTCACTAGAAGTAACTAAAAATTATCCATTAGGCGATAAGACGCATTAATTAATATTATTTAAATGATCAGGATAGCACATCATATATCCGTTTCCAGTTCCGCTTTCGCAAGGATAGTTAAATATTCTTATAGTACCTAAATAAATAATTGAATAAAAATTATAAAAATACAATACCCATTTCATCTGTAACAGCAATACAATTTTTAATAGGAGTGATTTTAAGTATTTTATTTTCATCATTATAATAGCTATGAACACCTTTAGTTTTTTCACTAATTTTAATGCCATCAGAACACCATTCAACATCATGTTCAATATATATAGTATTTATTTTTTTATGATTAGTAAGATCTATAATAGATACTTCTTCGAAATTATCTTTATAGAGTAAATAAGAGTTATCAATTGTAAAATCTACAAATTCGACTGAGGTTGACAAATTATCTATACTGCATAAAAGCTTGAATTTGTTTTCATTATTTGTATTATAAATTTCTATTTTTGCTTATTTATCTTTGCTTTATGTTAATGCAACTGCCAAAAATTATTCATTATTACTTAATTTCATATCTGATATACTACTTTCCATTTTATGATTATTACTAAATATGTAATTTGGATAATTTAAATTTTGAACTGATTGACTAAATTTGCCTTAGGGTACTAAATTTAGCCTTTCCTATTCTTCTTAATTTATTAATATAACTATTTCAGATTCAAACGCTATAAATATTTTTGGTGAAGTTTTACATACTATTAATGATTATGTTTCTTTATTAAAAAACTAATAATGCACTCTTTATAAATTTTTTAAATCCCATACACTAAAAAATCCTTTTTATGTTATTGAATATAAAAATTTCGAATCAGCAGAAAAGCTCTTTTTAAAATTTTTAATTATATAACCTTCTTTTATATTTTATTTTTTACTAATGAACGTGGTATTTCTTAATCATGGCAATTTAAACGAAGATTAATTTGTTGTTATTTTTATTGCTTTTGTACATTCACTTGTTATTGTTACTACTATTATTCGTATTCCTCATCATCAGACTATTATTATTTTTCTGCATATTATTAATTTTACTCTAATTCATTCTTTTTTATATAATATTATAATTTATTTGAAAATTTAAAATTACTTAAATATTTAATTTATTAGCTTCTTCCTCTGTATATTAAGGAAGCATTAATTCATAAATATCACCACTTTTTGTTCCAACTAAAATATATCTATTTTTAATAAATAATAAAATCTATTTTTATTTTCTTTTACTTTTGTCCTATACAAACTGATTAAATATTATATTCAGCAGATTTAACAGCTTCTGAAACAGGTAAATTAGTAATTGAATATTCTTAAACTTTATTAATAATATAATTGTATTCAGAAGGAATTATTTCCCATAAATTAACTCTGCCATCAAGTCCTCCAGAAACAAATAAATTGCTTTCTTTTTTAGCAAATAAACTAGTAATAGGAATTTTTTAATGAGCAAGTTATTTTTAAATAATTTTATTTCCTTCCCAGACATATAAGAATCCATCTTCTGCTGAAGTAATAATAACATCCTAAACAAAAATAATACATAAGAAAGTAGCTCTAAGTTCTTGTTCATCATCTTCTTCTTCATTTTACTATTCTTAATCCTTTTCAGGAAATTCATCTTTGTTTCCATCATCCCTTACAAAATCTGCATTATTTTTTACATTCTCTTTATCTTTTGGGTTTTCAATTTCTAAAGGCTAAAATGATAAAATAGAGCCTTTTTTTGAAAAACATATATATCTGTATATTATATATATATATATAAGTATTAATATACCATTGAATTTCCACAATGACATATGTTAAATACCACAGGTTATAAATTTATTAATAGAATTTGGCAAAAAAGATAAATCTTTAATTTTATACGGTAAAGTATAAGGAAAATTGCAACATCCAAGTATTTAAGGAGCTCCTGAATCAACTAAATAAACACACATAGTATAATCATTGGTTAATGCTACTACACATATATGTCTATTATTATGAGCAAATTTTGCCTTTAAAATCATAGGGCTATTTGTTAGTCGCATTGTTCTAATACATGTTCTACTACATATATCCCATATTAGTATTTTAGCTTGTATTTCTACTGTTCCAGCAACCAAGAATTTCTTATTATCTGATAAACTAAAACAAGATATTTAAGGGAATGTACTATTTTGCGAAGCATCTAATTTAATGAATTCTTATTTTAAAGCTTTATTTGTTGTTTTTTTAATTTTAATGTATTTTATATATTTTACTTAAAAATTATTCATCGTCAGTAAAATTATTTTTAAAAGCTGGGACAGTTTTTTAATTTTGATCATCAAATTAATCTCCTTTAAAAACAACTAAATTACATCCTGCTATATATAATATATTTTCATCATAGTCATAAAAAAGATTATTATATCTTTAAAATATATAAATAAACTTATTTTTTTAAATAAAAACCTATTATAAGCTTTTCTTCCAATAGCATTAGATAGTTATAATTCTATAGAACTTTCTTTAGTGTCTTCTATTTAAGAACAAACTTCCGCTATTTCTCCTCTTTAAGGAAGCACTTCATTAATAAGATTATTAAATTTATCTTTGGTAACAAGTTCAGCAAAAATATCAGGTTAATCTAATCTATGGTTAATATTATCCAAATCCCACAATTGCTCTTCGCTTTTAAGTTTCCATTTCATCACGCATTCATCTGTAATTCCTGATGTGAATAAATATTCGAAAGTTCCTGGCGAGTTTTCGCATTAATTTACAAAAGAAACATGAGCTGAGTAACTTTTTGCTAAGCACATATAATTAGGCTTGTTTTATTGATTTTAGAAATCCTTATCCGAATATAGGCATTATTATTTAACTAAATGTAAATCTCCTTTTATACTTCCACATATTAATGTATTACCTGAGCTTAACATTACTGACATATAAGGAGGCTGTGTATTATGGCCTACTAATTAGTTGTTATTATTTGAAGAACTTCCTTGTTAAGTATTTCCAAATCCTAAATTATTGTTTGCATTTGAATTAATATAATTTCCAAAAATATCTTTTATACCTTCATCAGGAATCAATAATTAAGAATAATATTAGTACTATGCTACTAAAGAATTTGGGAAATTAAATATTTACCATTAAATACTTTTTATGCTATCCCATAATTTTACTGCTTAATTATTTTTAATGTCCCATACCATATAATGTCCTTATTAATCATGATTTATTCTCACTAAATAATTATCAACCAATTAATAATATATGAGAAGGAAATCTTCATCTTTTGAAAATGTCATAAAATAAACGGCACAACCTTTAATATTTTTAATAATATTAAAGCTAAAATTTATTTAAAAACAATAAAAGATTTACCATATGCATTTGAATCTGTTCTATAACTTTCATATACACTGGGACATCTTATATCAATAAGCTTTTAATAAGTATTTTTTTCGTTTCGTCCTTTGTTTTTATGACTAGCTCTATTTGTATAAATTGAAATATATGAGCCTTCCTTTTCAAACTTGCTTTCAAATTCTTTAGACTGCCTTGAATTGTCAAAAGAAGCTGCCATAAAGTCACCTTTTTAAGTAAATTAAATATTTAAAACTGCTGTTTTTCCATCATTCATTATATTTAAGCAATCTAAAGAAGGAGGTTCATATTTCTCTGCTAATTTTCCCATTTTATTTTTACTTATTTTTGAATCGAAAATTCTTATTGTTCCACATACAAAACCTATTACTAGTAGAGAGCCGTCTGGAGAAAATTTAATTGCGGAAGGAGTTTTACTCAAAAATTATTAAATTAAAGATTTGTTAGTTTTTATATCAAACATAAACAAATTTCCGTCTTCTCCTACTGTAACCATTATAGGTTCTTCAGGATGTAAGGTAAAATAAATCTGTTTTTTTTATTTTATAAATAAATATTTTTATTTATTTTTTGTTTTTTACTTTTTTATTAAAAATGTTTTCATATAAATTAGTTTTTGTTTATGTATTTTATTATTAACTACTATGGAAGCTTAAGTATTCTGAAATTGTAAATTTAAAGTATTTACTCTACCCATATAAACTTAATTAATTTACTTCATCATCATCTTCACTTTCTTCACTATCATCATCTTTTAAACCTCCTCTTTATGTTTATTTATTTTCAAATTAATTATATTTTAAAAATAATATTACCTTATTATAGCACCTGGCTTTGTATGATAGTCATCCGAAGAAGCTTTTTTAAGAACAGACTAATCTAATTCGAAAGTTGCTTCTAGAATAGAACCGTTTCTAGTTCCAATTAAAATTGTTGGCCACTATTTTTTTTATTATTCGTCTATTTTATTTGATTTAGAAATAGATTTTAATGCTTAAGATGTACTTTTTTTATTATTTAAGTTATTTTTTTATTATCTCATATTACAAAAATAAACATCTATAGATTAAGCGGATAGATTTTTCATTTCTTAAAGAGTTTTATTTTTAGTAAAGTAATCAAATTAAGCTAGTTTCTTTGTTGATATTTCATTTATTTAATTAAATTTAGTATCCCATATTTTTATAAGTTCATCTTCTCCAGCAGTAATAATAAGTACATATTCTTCAAAAGCCTTTATTTTAAAAATAAAAAATAAATAAAATATATTTATAAAAAAAAATAAAAAATTACAGTAAAAATTTTAATGCAATTGATCATTTTAGAATGGGCCCTTTCTTTAACAGGAATATATTTATTACAAGTAATAAGAATTAAATCTCCGTAGTTATTAGCAGCAATAATATCAGTTTCAATTTTTTCATTGAGCCAATAACTTAAATAATCGACACAAGTAATACAACAATTAGCTCCATGAACACTCTCATTAGAAGCATTCACTACAAGTTTTCTTAATAAATTTCTACCATTTAATTCCCAAACCGTAATATTTTAAGTTCCACAAGTAACTAGTTCATATTTATTATAAGGATTAAAACAAACATCGAAAATATGGTATTATCCGCTATTTCTAAGAGCTATTATTTCTTCAGTTTTCCAATTAGTGACTTAAATAGAAAAATTAATATCCATTCCAATAGAAACTATTATACTCGAATTTTACGAGAAAGCAATTGTTACAATCCCATTTTTATGAAAAGTTGGAAGTATTTTAAGAGGCTCACAATTTAATACATTCCAAATATGAATACTAGGTTTTGAAGCTGCTTCTCCTGTTGCAACTATAAATTTTAATTATTAAACTACCATACAAGTGATTTTTGATTTATGACCTTCATAAAAAATTTGTTTATTTTTAGCAGGATTATATACTATTCCAACTCTAGAAGTAAAATAAACGAAATTTCTTTCACAATTATCATGAGATTAGTCATAATTTAATTCGTTTGAAACTCCTTAGTCAGCAGAAGTCAAACAAACACTTTTATTTTATTAATAGGCTAGAATATTTCGATGTTTACTAAGTTTTTTCAAAATATCTTCTCTATCGAATTTTTTACCTTTCTTTTTTTTACTTACATTTATATTATTATTGTCTTGTTCTTTGTAATTTTTATCATAATATATATGGGCATAATATAAAGTTCTTCTTTTATCAAAAGCTTAAAATCCATATATAAAATCTAATTCAAGACTTGCTTAAGGAGGCCTTTTGTGCAAATGATTCTAGTCTTGTAGATTCGGGATTTAGTTTTATAAATGCAAATTTAATGTTTTTTAGTTTGTTCCTCTGAAAAGTAAAAAAGTATCTCTAAAAGCATCTGAAATATAATTATTCTTCCCAATATAACTGTAGGCTAGTTCTCGTATTAGTACATCATCTTTTATTTATGCTACTTTGTTTTCTGTTAATTAACTGGAAGGAAGAAAATTCTTCTCCTCTTGGAATGGCTTAGAAAAATCATTGTAATCATTTATGAAATCTACTTGCCATTCTATTATAGTATTATCTTGTGATCCTAACGAAAAAAATATATCTTGACTTTTTGTCATTAGTAATCTCGATATTTATGAGGCGTGTCCTTTCAAGAAACCTCCACAATTTGATTCTAATTATTCATGATCTCTCCAAAAAAATAAATATCCAGATTCTCCTGCAGCTAAGAATACCTTTTTTTTATATATATTTTTTTATTAATTTTTTTTCATTACTTTTATATCTCCTCCAATTATAATAGGTAGCAAAGAATCAGCATAATTTTTAGTATGTAAAGGATACCTCATATTCCATATAGTGCAGTTTATTTTTTCGTTTTCTTGTTAAATATTTTTGCTTTTAAGATCCGGTAATTCCACTTTATATTAGTTTCTCATATTTGTTCCTATTAAAAAACTCTTATTATCATCTAAGAAGTCAATAGAAATAGGAACTTCTTCAAGTTATAGTTTTTTCGGGTTTACTTAAAAATAACTATTATTACTTAAACTAAAAAGATAAACTTGACAATCTTAGCAGGCAGCAATTAAATAATATGTATCACTAGAAAATTTTAAATCCATAATCATTTATTTGCAATCATAAGATCTTGGAGATTCCTCCCTTTATTTTTATTTTTAATATAATATATAAATATATATCAATTATTTTTATGTTTTTTTATTTTTTCTGTAATTTCTTTTTAAAAACTCAATTAAAAAAAAAAAAGGCAGTATCCTTTTTTTTTTCGCCTTATATTTTTGTAGATTGAGTTCATAAAAATAAATAAAAATAAATAATATATTCTATATATTATTTAAAATACCAATCAATCCTCATATAGATATGCCCATTATTGCATCCAACAGCAAATACTGTGCCTCCGTCTTCAAAATTAACACAATCCATAGCAGTAATAGGTTTTTCTTGTCCAATAGTCCAAATATCAACTATTTCATGCGTTTCAAGGGAGAATCCGTAAACAACTCCCGATTATCCAGCTACGAATAATATTTTATCATCATTTTCTGGTCTTTCAAGGATACACATAGCATTTAGATTACCATTTAATTTAGTGATAAAGTTAAGCCTATTAGCATGCATTTTCTAAATGAATTTATTTGAAGTCCATTCTTGTTTCTAATTAAGTTTAATTTCTATAATATCACCATAAGTCGTTGATACTAGTAATTTATCATCTGCAATTAGAATATCTGCAATATTATAATTAAAAAGTTTAAACGCAAAGGTAGTTAGATCTATATTTTTAATATTAATTTTCATATTTAAATCCCAAAAATGTATAGTAGAAGCTTCTGTAGCTATAATTATCCCATATTAATAAGTAATTATACATAAAATAGCATTTTAGTTCTTATACATGCTTTCTTTTTAGTCTTAATCCATATTCCACCACATATATACAGATCCATCTACATGCCCTGTTATTAATACTATACATGCTTCTGATTATTATTAGAATGCTTTCAAATAAGGTTGATTGTTGTTCATTCGGACTGCTGCAGCGCATGTTATTTCACTTATTTGAGAATTTTCACGGGTGTTTAATGATATTTCTGCTTGTTAAAAATGACCATTTTGATAATGTAACATTAAAATTTTTCGAGACGTTACAACTATAAATGAATTTTAATAATCTTCTATCATACTTTCGTATAATGGTTATTAGCTTTCTAAGTGAATTAAATATTAATTTACTTCCATTCGATCATGATTACTTTCGTTTTACCTTTTAGAATTTTCTTTGTATATTTTTTTATTTTACTTTATTGATTTTTTTTTTTTACTTTTTGTTATTGTCTTGTAATTTTAGTTTGATTTTTTATCTAGCTTTTCAAATGATCCTATGTAATTTCTTATTGTTAGAAGCTCAATCGTAGGTTCTTCAACAAAAGTACTTAAAGTTAAAGTATAATCCTTTACACTATAAATAAGTATAGGAGAATCTAATCTTAAACCACAACTAGCTATAAATTCGTCATCCCTAAAAAAAGTTATAAATGATATTCCTTTTTAATGAATTCCCTTTATTACCCCTAAGTTTTATAAAGTATCTGGATCCCAAACATGAATATGTGGTTTATCACCTAATTCTCCGCTAGCAACTAAACGATTTTTTTTCGAAACCGCTAAACAAATAACTTCTCTATCATGTTCTAAATAATGCTATTAGACTTTAATCTAAAAATATTTATATTAATATCTTTTTTTTTAAAAATAAAAAATTACTTAAGGATAAAAAATAACAACAATACAGGCTGTAAAATAGAGTATTCTTTCTGACTTTTAATTATTATTAGGCCGAATATATTCGATAGGATGATTTACATCTTATGAACGGAATCCATAAACCCAATTTATTTTGCAATAAGTATCTTTTTGGCTTGTACTATTAGTATTAGACCTGTTTAAATAAAAAAGTTTTTTCGATAATGCACTCAACCAATCAATTTTTTATTAATATTTTTTCGAATTTATTATTTAACCTAAAGATTTTACTTCAAAGCGGCCTTTTTTATCATCAAAAAGCATATTTCCGACTTGCTATTATTTCGAATTTTTACTTTCAGGCAATTACTTGTCTATTGCATTCATAAATTAGTTTATTTCGTCCACTTTTGCACACCATTTTAACATTTGAGATATATTTACACGCGAATCATCATTAAAATGTTTGCCTAAGAAATCTGATATTTCTTCTTCATTCACTTCTGAGTCTACTCCATACATTTTAAAAGCTGCGTTGCAACACGAAATCATCATGAATTCCAAATCTATAATACTTAAGCTATTTAATTCATTGAAATCGAATATATCAAATAAAAATCTAAGCTTGTCTTCAAATTTTCCATCCGAAAATATTATTAAACCCGAGAATAGCTCTAAAGCATCTATTAATCCGTTTTTGTCTGTATCCCAAATACTGAATAATTTATCACTTTTATCTGGCTGTCCTAAAATTTAATCAAATTCAGATTATTCTATGGCAAATGTATCACAAACACTTTTAAATGAACCATGATATTCTCTTAATTTACTTAAAGCGGTATTTGTTAATGGGTTTTTTAATGGTTAAGAAGGAATGGAACTTTTAAGTTATTGTATAAAATTTCCCATTTTTCTGTATATTTTTGTGTTTTTTTTATTTTTAAAAAAGTATTTTCTAAAAATTTATTAATTTTCTTATTTTTTTATTATTATTATTTTAAATTTATCTAATTTAAACTAGATTTTTTATAAATTTTTTAAAAATGATTTTAACTAATTTATGAATTAAACTATTAAAAATAGCTTTATAAAGTTAAAATATTTATTTATATTTATATTAGAAATATAAGAAAGTGATGAATTTATAGTTATGTGTATTAAATACTAAAATAAATATAATTAAATTTTTTGCCTTTACTTTACTTTTATTTAATTTTATTTTTTATAAAAATTAAATAAGTTAATTATGTTGAATATAAATTAATATAATATATAATATAATTTTTTATTAAATATTAAAGATTATGAAAAAAAAAAAAATTACAAATATATTTTTTCATATATCTTACAAAGCATTTAAATAATAATTAAAATAGTTTTAAATATTTTAGCAATATTTATAGCTTTTTATATATACATAAACTTTTAAGTCCTAATAGAAATAAAAAATAATAAAGAAAAGTAAAATAATAAATTAAAATTTACATTAATATATTTATTTTCTGCATTAAGTAATATATTAATTCCTTTTTCGATAATTTTAACTCCTTTAATATCAGCAGAATTTATAATCCAAATTCTTTCCCTGTTTTTAACATTAATTAAAATAACTTAATTTCTAAGGAAAATTAAAGCTTCCTACTTTCTATATTTATTAAGTAAAATGTAAGACTTAAAAAAAATTTAATCTTTAAATTTTCCTCTTTTTAGTCTAAATATTTCAGCTTACATTTCGCTATCAATTTCATTATATTCTTAAAAAAACTATTCGTATTCATAAAAAACTCTTATTTATCTTAATCTTTAATCATTTGGCTTAGAGTCAAAATACATAGCTGTATTTTTAAAACCTTCAGCAGTTTTCGAAATAGCGTCTAATATTCCTGATACAGGCTTTATTATTACTCCAGAAATACCTTACCAAGTTCCTTTAATAAATCCTTTAATACCATTTTCTTTAGACCCTTATATTGGTTTTTATACTGTACTATATTTATTTTTAAATATTTATTTATTTGAGATAATTTTTTTTATTTACTCTATAACACCACTTTTTACACCATTATATATACAAATTAAACTTTATTCAATCCCTTCAAATGCATCTTTTGGTTTTTTAGATTTTTTTTCATGCCTTTATTAAATAAAATCATCATCCTTTATACAATTAATTTTTTTAATATAAATTATAAAAAAAATAAAAATATTTACAATACATAAATGGGTAATTCCATTTGAAAAAGACCCTGCAATTTTATCAATAGAATTAAATGTTCCACACATAACATTTTTTAATAAACTAGTAGCCCCATATCCTAATCCCATTCCAGCTTCAATGGGTCCTTAAACTAATCCTTAAATAGGTTTTTGTATAAAATCTTTTACACCTGTAGAAACATTACTAAATAGTTTTATCGGATTTCCAATTATATTTAAACTTCCTAATAGATTCAAAATTTAAGGTATTATTTATTGTTTATAATTATCTATTAATTTTTATGATATTCCTTATGTTGTGTCAAATATATTAAGTAATTCTATCCCTTTTAATGTAACAATGGCATCTTCTATATTTGTTAATGATATTCCTACTGCACTTGCAAATTATTTTACGAATTCAAAAGAATTTTCCACTTTCTATATATTTGGAATCATTTTAAAATTAAAAGATATGTTAATGTTTATTGGAGATATTAGAATTTTCTTTATATAAATAGGAAGGTTAATAGAATTTTCATTTTATTTTATTATTTATTTTTCTTAATCTTATAAATTTTATATTTCTTATATTAATGTTTCTTTTTATATTTCCTCTGTATCTTAAAAAAACTATAATAATTCTTATATTATATCTAGTTCTACCCTTAACATAATAGGCTAATTTATATATAATTATTAAATAAGAATTAAAAAAAAATACTTCAATATCAAAAACTAATTAATCTATATGATGAGGTTATTTCTTTAATAAAATATTAAGAAATGGTTTTTTTTTGTTTTTTTTTAAGGTGTAAATAAAACAGGATATTCCGAAATTTAATTAACATTATTATCAATATTAATATATTTTACTTATATCTAAATAACATTTTCCATATTATCTTGACATAAATATACTATTTCAGTTTATTCAAATTATAAATAAATCAATTCTATACATTTTTTATTCACTTATTTTATATTATTGTTAATTATAGAAATTCCCATTTTATTAATTGAAAGATTGAAATAATTTTATATTTATTTTTCTTTTTAAACTATTTATTTTTAATTTATATTTTATACATTTTCTTCATCATCTTCGAATATAATTATTTTTGTCCCTTAATATATACTAATTGTATATTTAATATAAAATTCTTCAAAATCTCCTTTTATTAGTATTTTTTTCGACTCTAAAATATCAGGATAAACAGTAATAAATCCATCATTATATTTTTAATTTTCTAAAACTCTTAATACTACATCAAATTCTTTATTATTTTCTAATTAATTCCAAGCAAAATATATACTTTCTCCTTTATTCAAAACTGCAGGAATATAAAGAGTATCTACAATGATTTTATTTGAATTATTTATAAGTTTATAAGGTGCATTTTCTTCTGGAATTTCTTTAATTATTAATACATGTGAAAGAATCCTTTAAATATTTATAATTTTTTTTATTTCTTTTTTAGAATTTCTCATACTTAAATAAACATTATCATTTATACTAGATAAATTTATTTCATAAGTTTAAATCTCTTCTTTATCATCGTCTTATTATTTTATATGATTTTATTATTCATTTTGTAATTCTTTATTTTCGTTTTATTAATTCTTTTTTTTTTATTCATAATTTATATTTTAGTTATTACTAAGATTTAAATTTTTATTTTATTCTAATTGCTAATATGTTGATATTATTATGTTTTCATTTTCATTTTAAATAAAATATAAAGCACATGTTTCTTCTGGATTTAATCTTTCTTAATGAATCTTTTATTTTATTTATATAGAAAATTAGCATTTATTCATTATTTTAATACTAGGAGATAATATTATTTGTTTTATGTATAAATGATTCTATATGTTTTTTATTTATACATCTATATATAATGGAAAATTTATTTCTATTTCATTTTTATTTAAATCTACTTATATGTAATCTTATTTTATTCCCAATATATCTATTTATTTATTATTTATACTTCCTATTATTATATTATTAATATTTTCACTTAATATTATATTTTCTTTATCTAATATTTCGTCTTCGTAAATAGGTTATTATCCTGGAATTTTTTTTATTTATTTATTTATCTTTGTAAACAATTCAAGTTGGTATCCACTTTTATTTATTACTATAGATTTTGAATATATGAAATATTCTCTAGCTAATTTTGACGGATTTTAATATACACATAAGTAAGTATAAGAATCTTCATCTTATTCTTTTTTTATTTTATATTTATAAATATTTATAAAATATATTTTAATAAAAACCTATTCCTTTTATTTTTATTTTTTCTAAAGATTATCCCTCATATAACAATTCTTCTTAACTCCAAAAAAATCCCTCACAACGAAATTTTAAATATAATTTTTAATGTAAGGGAACATCGTAAAATTCAAGAAATTCTCCTTAATTAATTTATTAGCTTAAAAGTGTTTCCTTATTTTATCCTAGTAATTAAATATAAGAACTTTTAGGTAAAAAGTTCCAAAACTTATAAGGAGGTTAAAAGACACACATGAATTTTTAAGAATCGAAATAAATATCTAAAATAAAGAATATATTATCTCCAATTTAAATACTAAATTTACTTTCATTATCATTATTATTAATGCTAAAATTTTAATTATCTTAACTATTAATTTAAAAGCTTTAACTTTTTAAATTAAAATCTTTTATATTAATTTATATTTCGGCATAAAGATAATCAATAGGTAAAGGTTCGGAATTTTATGGTGAAATATTTAAAACATAATAATGATTTTAGTAATTTAAATGGATGACAAGATTGTATTTTGTTTAATTTTGAAAAATATAAGGAGATGTAAATGTAAGTATTTTAAAATTAGAGTTATGTAAAATATCGACTTAATAAAATAAAAAAAGTTACTTATAATCACTGCTTAAATTTATTTTTTTAACATTTTTTATTTTACGAACATCCAATTATTTTATTCTATTTAGAGAAAATATATCATTTTTTATAACTAAATTAATACTACTTTTTTAATTTTTTTCATTTTAAATCTCTTATTTTTAAATTAAATACTCCTTTTCTTCATTGCTTTTTGCTAGAACGTAATTTTTTTGGTTATCCGCATTTACTTTTATAGTATGTCCAGTAAAATTCTTTATAATAAATCCAACTTATTATTATGAATAATACAAAGGTTTAATTTCATTTTCAAATTTTTTATTTATTTCTTCATTTTTAATTTAATTCAAAATTTAAAATATTATCCTTAAAAACTATGTCGAGATATTTATAAAAATTCCTTCTTATGATCCTAATTATACATTAAAAATATTCATTTTATTTTCAAAGCTAAATATCATAGATGTTTTTTCAACAAATGGTTCCCATTTAGCACAACACGAATTAAAATAAAATGCTTATATTAAAAACTCAGAAGAACTTTTAAAATCCATATATTAATCAAATAATGCATTCAGAAAAGAATTTTCAATCAAAATTTTTATTATTTAACTACACTAACTATCTGTGTCATCCAAAAAAATTAATTAGAGTAAAGAAATTTGAAAACTTATTTATAAAAAAACATTATTTTCATCTATTTCTTTTATTATTTATTTTTAATCCTCTATATTATTATTTTTTTCTTATTAAAATATTTCATTTAATTAATTCTAATAGAAATTGGCTAAGTCAGAAATAAATAAAATAAATGGATAAGAAATGTTTATAAAAGAATTATGTTTTAAAGAGATTCTTATATTATCTGAATTTTTTATGTTTATTTAAAAACTTAAATCTGTAATTTATCTTTTGTTTATTTTATTAAAATTAATATTCTAATATAGACTTTCAATAATAAGGAAATAAAAAGCAAATTCATTAAACTATAATTATAACTTAAATTATTAATTTAATTCAATATCTCCTTCGCAATAAATTCTTAAAGATAAGACTCTTTTATCGTTTTCATTCAAAAATTAATGAAAAAGAAAATTACTTATATTAAACTTTATTTTTTAATTTTCTTAAATTTCATTTTTTGTCTCTAAATTATTCTCTTCATTATTATAATTTTCTTTATTATTATTATTTTCTTAATTAATTTGAATATCTTTTATTAAAAATTAATATAAATCTAAAATTTATAAAAGAAAATCATTATTAAGTTCTAAATTATTTAATCTAATATATATATTATCTTATTTTTTTAGATTTTAGTGAATTTCTATTTAATTTTAAGTGCATATTTATGCGTTTCCTTTTTTAATAATTTAATTTAAATAGTCGAAATGATCAAATATTAGATTTTATTAACAATTATTCATTAAATTTCCGATAAATGTTTTATATAAATAAAACTTCTTTGTAACATCATAGTAAAAAAAGCCACTATGTAAGCTTCCAAAGCATATTCTGTATTCATTTTCAGGTGTAAAATCTAATTGAAAATTCATTATACTAAAATTAAAAGTCCCTTATTTATTTAAATTCTCGCAAAATATTATCATATTATTTAATTTTATTTAAAAATCTATATTTTAACTTTAACTTTCTACTTGTTATTATTATACTTTTAGATTTTGATAATATTCATTACACTTATCATCGTATAAAATATTTTACTTATAAATTTTATTTAATAGGTTTAAAGTTTTTTATTGTAAATGAAAAATTATTTGGTTTATAACACATTAGATTTTTACTTAATCAGAAAGTATTTATAATTATACTTAAATATTAAATGGTTTTACTATATTAAGAATTGTTTTTTCATCCTCACCATCTATAGTTATGTTTTCTAAATTTATTTCATATTATTCACTATTTAATTCGTTTTGCATTGCTATTTGTTTTATTTATAAACAAATAAAATCTTCATTTTTTTGTATACATTTCATTTATAATCTAGTATTTTTTATTTATAATTGCAAATGAAATTAAATAAATTATTGTTATAATATTTCAATTGATTATTATTACATTATAATTTCATTTTTTTTTTCTAATTATTATTAAAAAATGAATAACACTTGATTTTATAAGTAATCTAATAATCTTAAAAATTATTATTAGTAATAATTTATAGTAATATTATTTATTATTGCTGTTAAATTAATAGAATATTAATTACACATTTGAAATTGGGCTTAAAGTACGTTCATATTTTCTTCTTGTTATTAATTTATTTAATTATTATGAATTAAATAGATTTTTTGAACATTTTATAATTCTAAATTATTTTACTATTAAAGATTAAATGAATTTGTTAAGTCTGATAAAATAATATTTTCAAGATTCAAATTTATGTTTTACTCTTCATTAAGTTTTTAAATATATTATAAAGAAAATTTCTTAAATGTTAATTAATTTTAGCATAAATTAATTTTTTCGTTAATTAGTCTAATTTTAATTTTTTATAAATTAAAATGAACCAAAATTAAAACAATATCATTTTTTTAATTTTAACAAAGAGAATAAATAGAATTATTTTCGTCGTAGTTATTACTATATTTACTATTCTGAATTTTTTTTTATTTTGAATTTTGTTATTCAAATTTTTAAAAGAATAAAAATATTTAATTAACGACACTAGGTTTATAATTAAAAACAAGACATCCGACTTCAAAATTAATACAAACATCAATATTATTATATTTAAGATAGTTTCTATCATGCATATATACATTTACCTAAATAAATTAGTCTTTACATTTGGAAAAGATAATAAAATCTTATTATTTTTATTAATCACTAATAAAATTAAAGTCAATAAAATTTTGATTCGCATATAAATTTTTTAACTAAAAACATACTGTTTAAAAGAAGGTTTATTCTGAATATGTACAGGACAAATCTTAGGCCAATAGATTTAAAATATTATAATCATTTGATTAATTTTATAAATAAATATTAATAAATTCGCAATCAATTTAAGCAAATATTTACTAAATATTTAATTCTTATTCTGTTGAAGATTTTTTTTTTTTTATTTATTATTCAATATTTTATTACTTGGATGTTTCTCTAAGAATCCTAATCCAATCATTAGTTTCTTCTAAATTTTCACAGACTAAATAAATACTTTCGTTTTAACTTATTAACACAAATGCATTTTTAAATTCAACATATATACTTACTTAAGTATCATATTTTATTCTTATATATTATTAGCATTTTTTTTATGCTCGATTTTCATAAAAATACATACAGTTTTTGCTTATTGTTGCCCATTGTTTTTGCCATTTTTTTATATGTTTACCTCTTTTGTATATATATCCTTCTTTAATAATCTTGTCTTCTACTCCAAATATCATTGAATTTCTCTTTTTAAATTACATATTTTTATTTTAATTGATGTTATTATTGTTTTTTCTTTATTAAATTCATAATTATTTTCTTCATTTTCAAGAATTGTTAATAAAGTATAATATATACTTTCATTAAAAGTGGCTTTTATACCAGAAATTTTTACTTTTATGTTAATTTTGGGTTCATTAATATAAGTTTTTTCTGGTAATTTTCCAATAATAATTTCCGAATAAATTGTAAAATCTTAAATAATATTGTTTGTAATACATTATTAATTGATATATTTCATGTTAATATTTTCTAATGAGACAATATATTTTTCTTTAAATAATTATTCCATTCTAGACTAAAGAATATCTTATATTTTTTCATTTTTAATAGATTTTTTTTTCTATAAATTATCACTTTTTACAATTAAATTTCCGACTTGTAAAATAAGAGAATTATTAAAAATTAAAATAGGACTTTTAATGAAAATATTTAATTTTAACACGTTTGTATTTTTATCTAAATTTTGTAATAAATTTTCCATTTATTCTTAAGTTTTGGCTTAAAAATCTTCTATTTTTTTTATTGCTTATTCTTTTAATACTTCATCATCTACAGTAATTCCTTCAATGTAATTTTATAAGGTTTAAAAAAATTCATAATTATATTTTATTTCTATTTAACCAATTTATAATTGAATATCTTATTCTTCTAAATTTATTACTGAAGATTCATTTTATTGGTCTGTTTTTATTGCTTCGTTTTCATGGTTTTTTTTTGTTTCTATTTTTATATATAGAAGGGAATTTTGTATATATTCTTAATTTATTTCTTCGTTGTTTCGTTTTTAGATTATATTAATATATTTATCTTCTTTTTCTTATTATTATTAAATCATTTATATTTAAAAATCTTTTAAATTTCCTTTTATTAACATACCATCATTTTTTATATTTATAGTAGCTTTTAATATATAATAAATATATATTAAAATAATAAATAAATACCATATAAATCATATAAATTAAACTAAACCCCTTTTTTAAGATTTTTTTAACTTTCATTTAATAAAATAGAAAGTCCTTCAAATTTAAACTTTATTTTTAACCAAATGAAATCTGACGGGGCATCCATTTTTTAAGTTTAAATTTCTAAATAATTGTCATCTTCTTTAACAAATTATTAAAATAAGCTTTCTATGTATTCCTTTTCTTATTTTGTTATGAGTTGAAGTTTTTTTGAAGTTGAAAAGCCAAAGAGACGCTTTAGAATTCCTTTTTTTTCTTTTTTGGTTACGTTTTTCATCTAATCTTTTTTGAACTTTTCTGCTACTACGTTTTTAACACATTCAAATAAGTTTTTTAATGAAAGATTTTATACTGTGTATAGGAATAATTTTTTTCTTTCTGCACTTAAATATTCGAAGTTTTTATTCAAAACATAATAATATTCCTCAAACTGTTCTGAGAAAATTTATTTAAGTTATTTTTAAACATCTTCAGTAAATTTGGCTTGATTTTCTTTTTATTGAATTAATTTTAAATTGAATTAGTTTAAAATTTCTATTAAAAAAATAATATTTTATAACTAATTTTATTCTTATTTAAAATCTAATTTATCAATATTAAAAATAATATTATAAGATTATTATTTATATTTGCCTTTTTTTAATTATATTTAATAAAAATATATTTATTTTTCAAAATTTTTTTTCTTTTTAAAAAAAAAAATACTTTAGTTTTATGTTAATCTTATAGTAAAATTAATCAAGAATAAATATTTAACTAAATTATTTGTTCCTTAACCTTATTTCATTATGCAATATTGAAGGTACTATTAAATATAATTTTCGGTTTAATTTTTAAGAATATTCTATTCATCTGGACATACATAAAATCCTAAATTGAATAAAATTAATTTTTTAATAATTGGTAGATTCTAGTTTTGCTTATTTGTTCTATCAATAAATGTTTATTCATCATTTTCGTTTACAGTGAAAATTTTTAATTCTTATAAGCAAATTCCATAAGAATTTTATATATATTTATATTAATTATTATCTTCATATTCTATTCTTATATGAATATTAGAAATTTTTAAATAAATATTGTCTAAAATTCTTATTACTAATCTATCTATGTAACATTAATTGATTATACTTGATTATTTTTAATTTATTTAAGATAGCTTTGTTAGCTTGTCTAATAATTATAATGCGTAAATGTTTAATTATTCAATTTTATTTTCTAATTTATCATATTAATTAAAATTCCATTTTTCATTTTTTTATAAATTCAAGACTAAAAATAAACCATCTAATTCCATTTTCACTGCAGATTTGCTTAAATTGTAAAATGGGATTTTTAATGAAAGTTTATTTATGTTAGAATATATTAAATCAAAAGGCAAATCTTATAATATTTTTTGACTTAATTTAAGATTTTCTATTGATATTTAACCTGTAAGTATGCCTACTTCTAAGTTTTTTGTATCTAATTATTCAATATATTATCCTATTGTTTAGTTTATTATTTTTAATATTAATTTATCAATCATTTTTTAACTTTTTATATTAATTAAAATAAATATATTTTTTTTATATAGAAACTAAAATATTGAAGTGAGTGTATTTTATTTTTAAAAAATAAAAAATATTGAATATATATTTACCCGAAAAATAATTAAAAAAAAAAACATATATATAAAAATTATTATAAAAATTTTAATATTATATTATCTGAATATGAAACTTACCAAAATCAAATAATAAATAAATAAAAAATAGAATTTTTTATATACTGTCTAAAATTAAAAAAATAGCGTTTAAATTGATAATTTTACATTTAATTTTTTTTTATAAAAAAAAATTAGATGTATATAATAAAAAAAAAAATTAAAATAGCAAAATATATAAAGATAATAAAGCTAAATAAAATAAATAATGAATAATAAATTAAAAGAAATGAAATTAATATAGAAAATACAAAAATAGTATTTATATAAAAATATAAAAATATAAATATATATATATATATATATATATTTATATATATATAAAAATATAAATATTTATTCATCATTTTTTTAAAATATACTATTTTATAATTTAAAAATAATAAGAAATGATTATTTGTTAATTATTATATATTTTTTTATATTATAAAAAAAAATAAGTATCTTTTAATAATTTAATAAAAACTTAAATCAAAACTATATCACTTAGTGTTATCTACTCCACAAAAAAAGCATATCAAATCACTTTCTGTGTTTCCCTTTTAAAAATATATATTTAATATTATTTTAATTAATATAATACATAAACAATTGCATCTTTTAATTTATATAAAGGAATTTCATCTTCTATATCAACATCTAAACTTGCAAATAGTAACTTTGTAAAATATTCAACTAAATCTTAAACCATATAGTCATCATCACCTTACTTAGGTAGAATTTTATCCAAGCATATTTCACATAATTCACTTATTTCTTCTTTAGCAAGGGTTCCACTTTTATCAGTATCAGCCACTTTGATAAAAATATCAACTTTAGATTCTAGTGTTTTTCCTGAAACTCCATTAAGAATGTCAACAAATTAATTCCAATTAATAAAGCTTTCATAATTACACATTCTTCGAATAATTTCTTCACTTTAAGATGATATTTTATCTATACCGTGTTCAAAAGTTTTAAAATCAATTCCATTTTTGTATACATCTTTCCAATTCATTCTTTATATAGAAACAGTTAAAAGTGCTTTATATAAAATATAAATAGAATGTAAATCATGTCTTGAAAGTTCATATCTTGTTAATATCCTTGGAATATTTTTTATAAATAATTCTCTGTTTATTGATTATATTTATTTCATTGCTTATTCTGTTGTATAATATCTTTTTTGTTTTAATTTTTGTTAATTTTTTTTTTTATTATATATATAATGTTTTTTACTTTTTAATATTTTCCTGTATATAATTTCTGCCTTTTTAAACGGGTTTTTTCATCATGTCTAAAATGCAATTATATTCATCAAGCTTTTCCTTAATAATTTTTTCTTCTTATTTAAAATTATTTTTTTCTAAAAATATATCTACATAATGGGCTATTTATTTAAGATCTGATTTTTTGTTATTTCAAAACAAAAATAAAATATTAACTATAATATATTTTTAAAAAAATACTTTTAGTAATCTTATTTTCTGGATTATTTCCAAAAGAAGATGAAGCTTCTACTTCAAGAATTTATTTTTAAAATTAATTAAGTTATTTGTCATATTAATCTTCTATGTTTTATAACTTTTTTATTTTAGGAGAGTTTAAACTATCTGCAAATCCTTTTATTATATATTCGGGATTTCGATTATATGTAAGAACATTAGCTATTTTTTAGACATATTTTTTATTTTTTTCATATTGGTGTTATTCTTTTGTTTATATTTTCTCTCTTTTATATTATATTTGATTTGTAAATTCATATTATTTTTAGATTTTTTTGCTTATTATTTCATTTATTACTCTCCTTATATCATTTTTTGCTTTTTATGAACAATTAACTCTATCAATTCCACAAAAACCTCCGCTAACTCCTACAAAAATAGGTTATTTTGTACTATCAGGTTGTTTTATTATATCCATATGGTCATGTATTGGTTATCCATTTTCTAGAAATAAATATATATCTTTAGAGTTAATACCGAATTAAAATTTAATGTAACTTTTGAATTTTTTGAAGTCTTTTTTTAATTATTTTTCGCTAATCATATGTTCAATATGAGGTAATTCTAAAAATATATAGATAAGATTATTTTTCCTTTTAACTTATTCAAGGTTGCTTATAAAAACTATCAAATATTCATTTAGTTAATTTGGATAATAATAATCTTAAACACTTTTATATTTATTTTCTTATTATATAATTGGGATTACTTTTTTATTTTATTCTTATAGATTTGCTTTTTTGATTTCTTGAAATAATGATTTTTATTACTTTTATATATTATTATTTGTAGATGCAGTTTAAAAATTTTAATCAAGACTCGCACTTCCTATACTTTAAAACATTTTCTAAGCTGAATTATCCGTTTATGTTTCCAAATATTCCTTTTATATTTATTATGTATTAATATACTATTTATTCAAATAACTTGTAAACTATTAGTTTTTATTTATTTTAGTAATAAAAAAATCCTTTTTTTTATATTCTAAAGGCTTTAGTTTATTAATCTCGTACATTTTTTCATCTTACTCAGAATTAATTTAAACTTTATTCAAAGTGAATTTATCGTACATTGATTTTACGAAATTCTATATGTTTTCTTTAGTAGAGACTAAACCGGAACATGTATGGTATTTAATTTTTTATTCTTTTTATAAATTCATTTTTTGTTAATTTTAATATATTAATCTTGTCATAAATACATTTTATGAATTAAAATTCGATTAAGCATTTTAAGCATAAATTTAATTTAAATCTGAGAAACGTTTTTTTTTGAAATCAATATAAAAATTTTTATTTGTCTTGCTTAAAAAATTTATATTAGTTTAAGCTTAAGTATTTTTATCTAAATTCTAAATAGCTTTATTTATTTTATTTTCAAATTATTCCTCTTATGTTTTTTATTTTAATAATGCAGAGGTTGGATATTTTATTTACTTTTCACTTTTTTATTCTAATTATTTTCTTATAGATAATTATGATTTTACGTTTCTCATAGAGTTTTTTTATTTAAACAAAAAAAATGAAATGGTAAAAATAAAAAATTTAATATTATTTTAAATAAATAAAAATTTTTTTCATATAAATTTTTTTTTGTTATTTATTTTAAATTTTTTTTGTTAATTTATTCTTATTAAAAATTTTTTAAATAGGTAATATATTTAATACTAGTAATATTTATCAACAAAAATATTAATATTAACAGAAAAAATAAAATTATAAAATATAATTTATAACTTAAAATAAGGATAGTATTAAATAATAAAAAAGAACAAATACAATATAATAAAAAACGTTAAAAAAACATAAAAAAAAATCAGGATTAAGGAGGCTCTTTATAAGTTTTATTAACAATATTTATTTATTGTTAAAATTAATAAAAACAGTCTTTAAATTTACTTACATTTTTATTTAAAATAAAATTATTTATATATTATATGGTTAATTTTCATTTTTTGATAATATATAATAAAATACAAGAATAACTTAAATATAATAAAATAAAAATAAAAATAACATAATTAAATATAATTAAATAAAAATAAATAAAAAAAAACATAATAAAAAAATTAATAAATTAGGATTTTAAAAAAATTATGAAAAACATCATATCTTTGAAATTTAAAACTCGTACAAATTCATTTCAAATAAATAAAAAAAACTTATCAGAAATTCGTTAATCATCTAATTCCTTGAATTAAAACGATAATATTTCTCTCCGTTAACATTAGAAATCCATAATGCATTATCGTTTTATGAATTCTCCTATAAATTATTCTCCAATTCATGCGCCCTTAATAAACGAAAGCTAAAAGAAACCTCCACCTTTTCTAATAAAATAGCGAAGCATAAGTTATAAACGAGCTAAAAGTACAGAAAAACACTATATAATTGTAAACTAAAGGCTTAATTATAAAACACCTGAAAATTCATTAACGCAATATCAAAACTAGAAAACCCGAACTCCTTTAAAGAAAAGACTGCTTTATAATTTAGAATCATTAAAAATGAAAAATACTGGAGTATAATAAACAAATAAAATACAATAATTTTTATAAACTTAAGAATAAAAATATTAAAAATCGGAAGAAGTAGAAGTAATATAATCAATGAGAACGAATATAAACATAATTCGAAATCATTCATATTTAAAAATTCAAAACTCAACTCCAATTCCTTAATAGTATTCATAATAAAGACGAAATTCTGAATTAAGGAAAAAAGAATATGAATAAATACAATAAATAAAAAAATAAGATGAATAAATTCAATAAATAAAAAAAGAAGATGAATAAATTCAATAAATAAAAAAAGACGATGAAGAGAAAGAAAAAGAAAAAGATTCGATTTTAGAATTAACTTTTCATTTCTAAAATAATTACCAAAAAATTATAAAGGAAGAACTTTCTAAAAAATCTTATAAAAATATTACTTTTTTTTTCGAAAATGATAATGTTTAACTTAAAGATTCTACTCTTTTTGAAAATCAATTGATATCTTTAGAATATCTTAATATTACTTTTGGAGGAAATTAATAAGTTTTTACTGAATAAACATTAGAAAGTATAAAAAAAATTAAATTTTAGAATTTAAAAAAAGTCTTTATTACTCTCCTTAAAGCTAAATAAATAAAACATATAGCTAATTTTGACGTGTTTGATTTTACATATATTGAAGAAATGGTTTTTTCATTTAATAATAATACAGAATAGATATCTTTCATCAAAAAAAAAAATGAATAAATAATTTTAAATTTTACAAAGTTTCCTAATTTTTCAGAATTACATATATATTTATTATAACATAAATTAATCTTTTTTTCAACTAAAAATCTCAAGTTAGATTTCTAAGATAATGATTAACTTTTTTAGCATTAAAATTAAAAGGAAATCATATTATATAATTTAGGAAAAAGCATAAACTCAGTTTCATAATTAAGTATCAATTTAGCAAGAAATAATCTTTCTTAAAAAGATGTCAAAAATATACTTTTAGGAATGATAAAAGGCAATAATATAATATGTTTAGAATTAAATTTAGTAGGAAATGGCTAATTAAAAGAACAGTTTTTTACTTGTTTTCATCAAGAAAACTTTAAATTTTTACAAAAGCTAAGCTTCATTATTGAAAAAGATCTTTAAATAATTAAATAATATGGTGAAAGTAGCTTATTTAGATTTATTTTTTATTTAAAACACATTAACGAATGCTCATTTTATATAAAAGATTAATAATAATCAATTTATTATCATAATTTTACCAATAAATAAGTACTTTTAAATTTAAATAATTGTGATATTTCTCCTTTTTAAATGTGTGATATTTTAAGGTGCTTGAATACTTTTTCGAGCATAAACGTTTTGAATATAGATTTTTCTACAAATTATAAACTTAATTTTATTAATATAATAAACTTCTTTTAAGAAATATCTTATTTTTCAGGAGGAATTCAAGATGTATCCTTAAATTTTGGAAAAACAAATATTTTATTTTTTGATATAATTATACTTTCTTTAATTTTGTAAAAAAGTGTCAAAAACCTATAAATTTAAAAGGGTAAATATGAAATTGGAAGTTTCCTAAAATCCCAAAATAATACTCTTTTTGTAAACCTCATCTAAGAAAATTTAAAAAAAGAAGATTATATATAAAAAATGAATACTATAATAAAATAAATAGCATTATAATTTAATAATTTAACCCATATACATATGTAGTTTTATTATAATTATTACTTTTAAATGGGAATTTTTAATGATCTTTTTTCATAAGGGATTTTTTAAATATATAAAAAATTGGAATTTGTACATTTAGATTTTAATTTTTGTTGTTTAAGTTCATAAACTGTCTTTGATATTTCTGTCTTTTTCTCCTAAATGTATAAACTTAAAATTCTAAAACTGTTTTTTATTAATAATGAATAAATTCATTATGATTAACTTATTTATATTGCTAGAAAACTCTTTAAATAAAATAATAGTTTAACATAATTTTAGCATGTTACTGATAAATATTAACTTGTTTTTTCTAATAAAAAAATTTAGCTTACTAGTTTATATGCTCTAGTATTGCAAATACATGAATTTTTGGGGGAGCTCAAACTATCGACTCCTATTAAATAAAATGAAAGTATTGATTTAACTGAAGAACCTTTAAATTATAATTAATTTGATAGTAATTTTTAATATAAAGATGTTTTGCTTGTTTATTTAGAAGATGTTTAGCTAAAAAATTTATAGAAAAATGTGTAAGAATTAGCTGATTATGAATAATATTCGGAAATTCATGTTCTAAGTGATTTTTTTTAATTTGAATTAGAATAATATTATAATTAAATTAAAAAGATTTGAATATAAAATGAGTAATGATTTACTATAATTAATATATAAATAAATTGTATGTGTAGGTATTAATTAATAAGATTATTTATTAAAAAGTATTATAGATACATACTATAATTTAAATATAATATTAATAAATCTTAATATAAGATATTTTTTATTTAAGTATAGTAAAAGTAATATTTTTATTAAACTGTTTCTAAAGTTTTAATTATTTAGGCTAAAACAGATTTATTTTTTAAATTTAGTTAATAATTATATAAATTCATTAATTTTATTAATTGTTATTATATGTGTTATTTAACTAAAACTAATATTTTTTAAAAAATTATCTTAATATATTTTTTTTTATTTTTCTAATAATTAAAAGAAACTTTGAGTTTTTTATTTATTTTTTTCCATATTAAAATAAACATATATACTAATCAAGAGAAAAATAAAAAATCAAATATTAAATTATTTATAATTAATTATAAAAAAATATATAAAAAGTTTCTATATATTCATTTAAAAAAGTACATAAAAAAATAAAAATAATAATTCTTTTTAAATATATTTTTCAATATAACTAATAATTAAATAAAAATAAACTCAAACTTAAAGAGTTGCATTCGGTCTTTTTAATTATTTTTCATTATATGTTAATGAGAAGCTTTTAGCTTTTTCTTTCTCATTTTATTGTACTTATTAAGATCTCAATTCTAATTTTTATGCTTCATCAACATCCAAAGGTGTTAAAGGGAATTCCTATTCATTTTTAAAGAGAGCTCTTAATTCGAAATAATATTTAGCATAAAGAGCACTTTTTACTGTCACATTGTATTACAATAATTCAAGGAATCTTTATTCTAATTAATTTATTTCATCAGTAACAAAAAAGGGATAAATAAATGCAAAATCAGCATTAGATAAATATTTATCATCCCATACTTTCTAAGCTACAAGTAAAGAGCATAAAATTAATGGTCTCCAGTTTGTTGGATATAATGGCATTCCTGTAAAAGCTATTAATCTATTAATGTATACAAGGCATATAATGCAACATTCTGGTGAAAACTTAGAACATTCATATAAAGCTTTCATAAATTCATAAATATTGTCTACTGAAGGAGTTTCTCTCAATAAAGCTCTTCTGGCTTCATCAAATTCTTCAGGCTTCTCTTCTATATATTTCTCTTCGCTGAAAAAATATAGATCAGATCCTTTTGGTACTTCTTTTCCTGATTGCTAATCTTCTAACATTTAGGAATGTAAAATTGTTGCTACTGCTTATATTATTGATTTTACGTTTGGAGATGATATTGTATGTCTAATATATAATGAGTTAGTTGTACTTGATCTTTATTAATTCATTTTTTTTTATTATTATTATTTATTTTTATAATTATTTATTTTAATTTTTATTATATATATTTTTTTATACTATCAATATTTTTTTCCTTTTTTAATGATGTATTTTATATATTTTATTTAATATTTTTTAAGTCAATAATTTTTAATTTTTTAAAAAATAAACAAATTAAATAAATAGTGTAGAAAATCATACAGCAAATAATCTTATAATCTAATTTAAAAATAAAATATTATAAAATTAAATTTTTTTTAGAACTAAAACATTTTATTTTAAATAAAAAAAATATTATTAAATGTGAAATTAATTATTTAATTTTAAAAAAATTGTTTTATATATGGATTTATTAATTTTATAGTAAAATAAGTAAAATTTACTTGAGTACTTTTTATAAATTTATCCGTGCTACATATAATTTACTTTTTTTATTACATTACAGCTTAAAAAAAAAATCTTTTTAATATTAAAAAAGAAATAAATAATATAAAAATTAATTATAAATATATGATATTAAAATTTACTTATTTTAAAATGTATTTAAATCTAAAATTAAATATAAATTATTAAAGCTATGATATAAAAATATGATTTTTAAAATCCAAGAAAATTATTCTAAAGAAACAAAAATTGTTATAAATAAATTAATTAAAAAATATTCTAAAATAGTTTGAAAAAAATAAAAAAAGATCATAAATATTACTAAAAAGTTTAAAGAATGTATTTACAAATACATATAAAATTATAATAATATCAAAAACAAATATAAATTTAAAATATATAAAAAAATTCAAATTTGAATAATAAATATCAACATTTATCAATTAAAACTATTAACATATTTAAAAAATTATATTATTATTTTTTTTATTTTTTAAATAAAAAATTTAAATAATAAATAGAAAATAAAATTAAAAAACATAAAAACAATAATAACAAATGAGTGATTATAACTTAAACAGTTTTTGTTCTGATCATGAAAACGAACAATAAGAAGAAAATATAAAGGACTATTTAAATGACCCGAAAAATCCGCCTGATCATCGTTTAAGAATATCAATAGACATCCGTTCATTAAAAGATTAAGACTTTCGAGGAAATATATATGTAAAATACTCTTCAAAAAATTAATTAAATATAAAATAATTTAAATCAACTCCTGTAATATAAGTAACAAAGCCAAAAGTAGAAGAAACTTTTGAAAATGCATTTAGATCATATATATTTGATTCAAATCAGAAAGATCTAAAAAACAGAATGTCTGAAATATTAGAATTCGAAATATGGCATTAAGATAGATTAAAAAAAGATATTTTAATAGGAATTGCATTTTTAAAATTAGAAGTAAAATTAAAATAAATAAATAAAAAAAAATTGAATATAAATAAATAGAATTTACTTTAAGCTCAAGTTAAAAAGACAAGTTAAAGTTATGCAAGAGTATATGATGTTTATTTACCAGTAGATGAATTAGATGAAGAGAGAAACCCAATAAAAAAAATAGCTGAACTAAGAGTTATTTTATACTTAGAAGATTTAGGTCCAAAAGACTAATTAAATTAAAAAGAAAAAGAATTAGGTTTGGATGAAAATGAGGAATATAACAATTTAGAATAATAATAATAGCCTTTAGTTTTAAATGATAAAAATTCAGATTTTGTTGGAGATTTGGAATATAAAATAATTTGGGAATTAGAAAATTGGAAAAAAGCAGAAGAATAAAAATTCAAGATTTATTTAAAATAAAAGGAAGTGGATTTTTTACAAAAACTAAATGAAGAATATAAACGAAAAGAAATCGAAAAAGACAAAGTTTTCAAAAAAACTGAATGCTCTATTAATTTATTACATAAAAAAATAAAAGAAAAAGCTAATGATTTATAAAAAAGAGAATAGAAAATTGTACTTTTAGAAGAAGAATTAAAAACTAAAATTTAAGATGTTTCTAGATAAGTTTCTATTAAGGAAGATTTAATAGTTGATCTTAAAAAAAAACTTAAAGACGAAAAAGGTAACTCTGAAAAAGAAAAAACTGTTCTTAAAGCTTAAGTATTTATAATTTTATGTTATTTTATTTATTTATTTTTTTAACAAAAAACAAAAAAAAACACTTTATAAATTCATATCTTTTTTTTTTTTTTAAATAAAAAATACAAATTATTAATATATTTTAAAATAAATTAAATAAAAAAAAAAGAACGAAGAATTAAAATAAGAATATAATTAATTAAGAAAAGAATATGAATTATTTAAAAAAGAATAGGAAAATTCTCCTATAAGTTTAGTTAAGAATGAATTAAAAGATAAGCTTTTAGAAATAAAAGAATTAAAGAAAGATATAGTAAAGGCAAACGAAATAAAGGAATAATATAAAAATTATTATGAAAAATTAAGAAACGAATTAATTAAATGTAAAAAATAACTTGAAATGATAAAAGAAGAAAATAATTTCAAAAATAATTCAGAAATTTAAAATCTAAAAAATGAAATTAATTAACTTAAATAATAAAAGGAAAACATATTTATAGGTAATCTATCAAAAAATAATAATAACTCGTAAAACTTAGATAAAAATAACACTATTAAATAAAATCTTCCATTTATAAATAATAATGAAAGTAATGCATTTAGTCATTTTCCTGATTATAATTGGGATAATTAAAATATTGGAGAACTCGAAAGGCTTGTTTAAGAAAGAGATTATTTATTAGTTTCTGGGGATTATATTGATAGTGATCCTTTAATTGTTGAATTAAATAATTAAATTAAAGCACTCGCTTACTGATTATGTTTATCTATATTTTTAATAAAGAGAAATAAAAAAACATAATAACATTTATTTTTTATAAAAAGTATATTATATTACTTATTATCTTCATATGTGTTTCTATATTTTATAGCCCTTCTATTTTTTATGTTTTGTTTTTATTTTATTTTAATTATTATCAAATAATTTTTTGTTATAAAAAGATAATTTAATATATTTATTTAAAAATTTTATTTTAAAATAAATAAAAATATCGTAATTACTGCATTAAAAAAAATAATATATATATATATTTACATTTGTTTTTTACATTGGGCATATATTTATATAAAAAAAATATAATAAAGAAAAATATAAAAAAAAAAATGTTCAAATAATTTTTTTATTTATAATAAAGAATTTCTATCAATTCAAGATTCTGCTTTTCTACTTAAGAAGCTAAAGTAATAAAAAATTATTAAATAGGAGAATATTTTCTAATTAATGAAATAAATTCAAATAAAAAAAAAAAACTTATCTTTTTTGTTTTATTATAAAAGTACAAAATAGTTTTAATGAGACATGGAGAATCAATTTGGAATTAAGAAAATCGTTTCACAGGTTGGAAAGATGTTTAATTATCTGCAAAAGGTAAATTATTTTATTTCATATTTATTTTAAGTCTTTATTATAAAAAAAAAAATTATTAATAATAATATAACTAAAACAATAAAAAATTAAAAAATATAGGTATTTAAGAAGCCAGATCAGCCGGAAAAACATTAAAATAGAATGGATATGAATTTGACATCGTATTTACATCAGTTCTATAAAGAGCTATTTAAACATACAATAATGTCGCTGATGAATTAGAATGTCATCATTTACCAGTCATTAAACATTGGAGACTAAACGAGAGGCATTATGGCTCACTTCAAGGATTAAATAAATCTGAAACTGCATAATTACATGGAGAAGATTAAGTTAAAATTTGGAGAAGGTCTTATTCTATTCCCCCTCCACCTATGACTGAAAACGATGAAAGATGTATTTTTTAATAAAAAATGTATTTTTTATTTTATTTTTTAAATAGTCCCGGGAAAAGACAAAAGATATGCTTAGGTTCCTGCCCATGCTTTACCGAAAACTGAAGTACTATTTTTTTATTTTTTTAAATTTAACTTTTTTTACGTAAAGGCTTTGGCAGATTGTGTTGTTAGAGTTATTCCTTTCTGGTATGATGCTATTGTACCTCAAGTTCTTTCTGGAAAAAAAGTTATGGTAGTTGCTCATGGAAATTCATTAAGATCAATAGTTAAGCATTTAGATAATGTATCTGAAAAAGGTATTATATTTATTTTATTATTAAATTTAAATGTAAAATAAAAAAAGATATTACTGAAATTAATATTCCTACTAGTGTACCCTTAGTTTATGAATTTGATGAAGAATTTAAACCTATAAGACATTTCTATTTAGGTAAGCATTTTTTATTTTATTTTTTAATTTTCCTTTTTTATTAAAGCCGATCCTGAAGAATTAAAAAAGAAATAAGAAGCAGTTTCTAACTAAGGAAAAAAAAATGAAATTTTGGAAATAAAATATTGTTTAATTACTAATAGTTTTATAATATATAATTATTAAAAAAATATTTTTATATTTTTTTATTATTTAGATATTAGAAAATTCTTGGGAAAAAAAAAAAAATCATAATATATATTTATTTATATATAATAAATAACTTTATAATTTAAAAAAATTAATTATAAATAATTTATATATTATTAATATTTTATTCAGTATTGAATAAAGTTATCTATTCCCGTTATTTTTCTTTCAGCGAAGACAAAATAAATATTAGTGAAAAAAAAAAAATATAAATATACAAAATAAAAAATAAGAATAAAAATATAACAATAATTATTAAAATTAATAAAATATTAAAATATTGTAGAAGAATAGTAATAAAAAATTTAATAAAGGGGTAAAAAAAATTAAAAACAAGATTACTATTTTTATAATAAAAACATATTAAATTAATAATTATGAAAAAAAATTAGAGCAAATGTAATATATATATAAATTAAAATATATATATGAAAAATAAAAATAAAAATACTATTAAAATGATATCTATATATTCTTTATTCATTTTTTATTTTAACAATTTAAAATTAAATATAAAATTTATATTAATAATTATGTTTATTAAATTTATAGTCTCATTAGTTTTTATTATATTTAATACAATTATTATATAAATTATAATTTAAAAATTATAAATAATCTATTAAATAAACAAACATATAAATATTTAAAATTCAAGTTTCATTTATCTTTGTGTTAAATATAATTAACTTTTTATTGAAAAATATACCATATACATATTTGTAAAATATAGAAATAATTTTTTTTTTTATCAATATAACCAAATAAATAATATATATATATATTTAAATATAATTTTAAAATAATTATTACTAAAAATAATTATACATTGATATAAATTTATTTTAACAAAAAAAGAAGATATATATATTATTAATAAAAATTATTTGCATATAAATATATTAAATATATTAAATATATTAAATATATTAAATAATATTAAATATTTATTATTATATATTTATATATTTATTTATTTATATATTTATATATTTATATATTTATATATTTATATACTTATATTACTTAACTTTTTTTATTTTATAATAAATATTTGCATATATTTTTTTTTTATATTAATTATTTATTATATTATTATTTTTAAATCTATTTTATAAAAAAATTAATTATTTATATCTTTCTTAATTTTTTACAACCTTTTAAAAAATTTTTAATTTATCATATATTTATATCATCATATTTAATATCTTTTAATCAATATAATTTTTATCATTTTTTATTAATTATTTAATTTAGAAATATATTCAATTTTAATTAAAATGCAAAGTTATAATAATATAATTTAATTAGATAATCTAAGTGTTATTTCAGTATAAACTTATGCAGACGAACGAAAGGACCATATTCCATTAATAAAAAATCAAATTCTAATTTCTTAATTACTCTAACAAAGATAAATTATAATTGCATAGATGAAAGAGCATATTAACTAATAATCTAAAGACTGTTTAAAAGAAGAATATATTTGCTTTGACAATCATTTTAAACTTACTGATTTATCAATAAATAAAGATTATTTATGGACAAAGTGTAAATAAGGAGTATAACTTAATAAATAAATGTTCTAATTAGCTAAAAAATTATTAAAATATAAATATGTAGATAGACCTGAAAAAATAGAAGTATATTATATATTTGCTTGAATTATACTTATTTTGAATAAAATTAAATTAAAAATTCATTTTTTAAATAATTAATATAATTGAAAGAATATACAAATAGTTAATATGCGTTTTTTTTATTATCTGAGTATATATTTGTATAACTCTAAATTTAAAATAATTAAAAATGTATATTCATATTAGGAGTTATAATATTAAATGTTAATTAATTGTAGTGCATATATATATATTGAATAAAATATATTAAATATAAAATTGTTAATATATATTGTTAAAAATTGAGAATATGAAACTAAAAAATATTATTATTGATTATTAAATAATCATTATAAATAATTTTAAATATAAAAAAAGTACAAATCTAATAATTATATATTTGAATATACAAATATAAAATAATTAAATTAATATTTAAACTAATTTACATTATATTAAAAATTAAAAAAATGATTTCATAACTAAGTGATTAAGTATCTTTTTATTTATTTTTATTATTAAATAAGAATATTTATTTTAAATAAAAAAAATTAATTTATATTTATTCAAATCCTATTTTTGATTTTTTGATTTTTCAATTAATATAATGTTTAATTTTTTATTTATTTTTTACCTATGTAATTTTTAAAAAATTCTATCAACTAAAATAAGAAGATAAGAATGGATATTTGTCTTTTTATAGATGAATTTTTTAAAAAAATAACGGTTATTAAAAAACCTATAAGCTTATAATATATAAATTATTTTAACAATCAATAAATTTAAATATACATTATAATTTGTTAATTTAATAAAAATTATATTATTTTTAATATATTATAAATTGTAATATTTATTATTATATATACTATTAATTATATTTATGATAATTTTTTATTTTTATAATATCAATATTTAACATATTTAGAATTTTTTAAAAATTGGTATTTATTATAATCTTATTTTATAAATTGAAAAAATATATTCTTATTTAAACTCTATTAATAATTTTACTAATTTACTTATTTTTATTTGTAAAATGTAATATTAAATAAAATATGGCTTAAATTTTTTTAAATAACATATTTTTATTTTTTTTCATTTATTTATTATAATAAAATTTATTATATATTTATATTTTGATTTATATAAATTAGATTGAAAAGAAAATAGTACTATATTAAATGCATGGTATATACTTTATATAAAACGATTTATTTAAATTTATGTATTATTAAATACAATAAAATATTTTTCTTTTTCTATTTAAAAAATAATTTAAATTAATAAAATTTAAGTCTTTTATTTAAAATTACTCTATTTAAATAATAATAAATTTTAGGATTATTATTAATTAATGACTAATTATATACCAAATAAAAACAAAAACATTTATATATTATATATAACAAAAACATAAGAAATTAAAAAATATTTATCCAATTTAATATTTTTAAATATATAAAAAGAATTAATATAATAAATATAATTATGTTATAATATTTTAAGCAAGTATTTAATAAAAACATTAAAAGTGAGAAAAACGGAACTCTTAATAAAACCCTTTTAAAAATAGTTTAAAATTCATAATTATTGAATCAAAATTAATAAAGATTAGATTTTAATGATTTATAAAATTTATAAAATTAATTATATCCTAAATTTGAAAACACATAAAAACATGAATAATTCTTAAATTAATTTTTTTAAATTATAAATAATTAACAAACAGGCTCAGTTTTTGATTGTCTTAGAATATGTACTTGCTTGCATTATTTTTTGATTAATATTGGGGAAACATTTACAAATGTATTTTTAGAAAATAAATTGCACAAATTTTCGAATGAAAATATTATGAAAATAAATCTAAATGAATTGCAAAAAGAAAATCATATCATTTACGATAAAATAGCTGTTCCTTACTATAATTACTTATTAAGATTATGCAAAAATTATTAAATATATAAAATATGTATAGATGTAATTTTTTTTTTTTGTAATGCTTTCAAAAAAATAAAAATAGGAAGATAGATTACCATTTACCGAAGAACAAATACATTGTTAAAGTTTTAAATTTATATGGCTATTTAAAATATAGAATTAATTATCATATTTAGTTAATATAATATATAATTTCGAATTAATTTTAAAAGATTTTTCATCAATATAATTTTTGCATGATACATTATACTTTTTGTTAAATGACTCAATGTGTTTTTATTCAGTTTTAAAATAAGAAATATCAAACTTATTAGAAACATATCATTTGTTACCGTCTTTAGATTTATTATAATATTACCAATTATACTAAGAGTTAATCTTAAATACATATAAGTTAAAAAGCTTTTATTAAATAATATAAAAATATGTAAATTGTAAAGATATAATGAAACAAATGATTAAAGAAAATATTTGGTTTTCTGTTCCTTAAAATATAGCAAAAGAATTAAATGATTATGCCCAAAAAATATAAGTCCTGAATGGTGCAGCTATTGAAATGAGATCAATGCTAAAAGCAGCAAATAATACTTCTCCAGATTTTAAATATACTATAAATTTTACTGAAAATCTCAATATTAATATTAAAGATAAATTTAGATCTAAAAGTACAGTTCCCAATTATTTTTTAGATAGAGATTTCAGAAAAGATGAAATTATTGATAGAATTAAAAATAAAAATAATAAAAACTTAAATAATAATAAGAATTATGAAATGTAAGAAGAAGATAAAATAGATAAACTTCCTTCCATTTAAGAAGTAAATGAATTTTAATAAGAAGATTTTAAAGATAGAATGACTGAATAATAAAAACAAGAAATCTTATAATATGAATAATTGATATAATAATAAAAGAAATTAGATATTGAGGAAAAATTATATTGAGGAAATTTCATAAAAAAAATCCCATTTTATTTAATTAAAAATATATTTTAAATAAAAAAAAAATATATAATATATTAAATCTTAAATTATTTAAAAATTTTTATATAAAATATATTTATTTTTGATATTATTATAATTTTAACTTTTTAAATGTGTGATATCAAAATTATATATATCTTAAATTAAGTAAAAATGTAATTATGATTAAAATTTTTTCATATATAAAATTGTATTGAAAATAAAATAATAATCACCTCAAATTATTATAATACAAAAAAACAAAAATATAATATATATATTTTGTCAATAGTCCCTTGAAACTTATTTCCATTTTTCGGCATACATTTATCCCATATTTTTTATTACTTTTTTATCTACTTTCCACAAAGCATTTCCACTCTAACTTTAATCAACA